ACAGCAAGACCCTTGGCCTGTCAGGGGGTCCACAGAAGATGAGCGGCCTGCGAAGCTGCCACAGAAGCCCTTCGGCTTCCACCACACGCCTGCTGTCGATGGTTGGCTGACTGAAGCCCTTTGTTTTCTCTTTTCAAGATTTCCCATGAAGCTAGCAAAAGCAACAAGCTCGGCAACCTTGATCTTCACTGTTCCCCCTCCGTTAGAACGCCGTGGCATGGTGGAGCCCAGTGCTTCCCCAACTCGGCCCCCACTGGGGCAGGACAGGCAGGGGCAGGCTCATCCCACTCCGTTAGAATGCCGCAGGATGGTGGAGCCCAGCGCTTCCGCAACTCAGCCCCCGCTGGGGCAGGACAGGCAGGGGCAGGCTCAGGAGCTGTGGGAACCGCCATGTCCCACCACACGGCCAGAGAAGCTGGTTTGGGGATTGGCATGGCTATGCAGAGATATGACACAGAGTGACAAGTACTCCAAGGCCCCTGAGAATCCCTTATTTGCCTTTTTGGTTCTTCTCTGACATCTAACCTGCATTCTCCGTTCTTGCCCTGAAGTTCCGTGAGACAGCCTTAAATCCCTCTTTAACTTTCTAGGCGTGAAACCTCTGCTGCTTACAACCGGAATCCTAAATTAACAGAGAAATATGGCGAGAGGAGCCTTTTCAGCCTCAACCTATAAAACCCAGCGCAGTTACACAGGTCAAGGCAGATGGAGCAAGCCCAGCGCTGTCTACACAGTAGGCTGCCCCCATCACAGCCAGCCAGTGTCTAGAGCAGCTGCCTCCCCAAACACCCCGGCTCCTCCCAACATCGCACGGCCTGTCCTCGTGCTGGAACGAGGCACTGCGAGGAGGAAGCAGCTGCCGCTGATGGCTGCACACACTGCCGTCTGGTCTCTGCAATGTCACAGGTGTAGTCTTCAGATTTGCTTTGATGTAGCGAACCTAACACATGAAAGTAACTAGAAAGCTGTTTTCTCCCTTCCCCTTAAAAAGATGATCTTAGTACACTATGAAGCAATCACTTTTTAAACAATCCAACATAGAAATAGTCCGTTACACATTTTAATCAGACATAACTTCTCTTTTAACGAACACACAGGTTATTTGGTGAAGATTTTCCGTTGAAACACCCTGTAATTGGTGCAAGGTTCGCAGAATAATTTTGTCCTTATGAAATCAACATCTGCCAGTTCACACATACACACACATATGCACACATATGAAATATATATGAGAATTATATATCCTTATCGGTGACTGTTAACAAAGGAGGAAAAAGCGCATCTACCAAATGAGCTAACCAGACTAGTAGAGAAGTGCCGCCTCTTCAGTTTTGTTTTCGGAATGTCCAGGTCAATTGTGATGCCTTCTAATTTATTCCAAAGTCAAGTCTGAAGCAAACGAAATTAGAAAGTGCAATCTCAATGCCTCCCTGAAAAAGTCCTTCCTTTTTAAGTCACTGCAGCTTCATATACAATGTTCACTACAGACAAGGATTACAGCCGCCGCCCCTCCTCTGCCCTGCAGCAAACCCTCCTCTCCCTGAGGAACCTGGACCTGCTTCCGAAACCGAGGATCTCCCAGCGCTCCGCTCCTTATCCCGAAGGGTCCTCTCTGCCTTGCTGGCTCAAGGTTTTATAGTTACTGTGACCTCCAAGAAAGCAGCAGGACAAATAATGCTTTACTCTGATGTCGCTACAAACTCAGCACACACACCAACCAGCACAATGACCCTTTTTTGCAGCTTTAAACCACTTTGGTTGAGGAATGTTCTACCGTGAGCTCACCTTTCGGTACATCTGTGGAGTTACCAAATGGCACAGCACTGTGTAACTATTCCAAACCTAACACAATCCATTTCAAAAGGTGGTGACGTCACAGCGACACTCAAACTTGCTGATGGAAGGCAGCCATGCCACACAAACAGGAACTAATATCAACCCTATAGAAAGACCATCTTCTGGCCAGGTGAATATCAACCCTACAGAAAGACCATCTTCCGGCCGGGCGAATATCAACCCTATAGAAAGACCATCTTCCAGCCGGGTGAATATCAACCCTATAGAAAGACCATCTTCCGGCCGGGTGAATATCAACCCTATAGAAAGATCATCTTCTGGCCAGGCGTGGTGGCTCACGCCCGTAATCCCAGCACTTTGAGAGGCTGAGGCAGGTGGATCACCTGAGGTCAGAAGTTTGAGGCCATCCTGGCCAACATGGTGAAACCCTGTCTCTACCAAACATAGAAAAATTAGCCAGGCATGGTGGCGGGCACCTGTAGTCCCAGCTACTCGGGAGAATAAGGCAGGTGAATCACTCAAACCCAGGAGGTGGAGCTTGCAGTGAGGGGAGATCGTGCCACTGCACTGCAGCCTGGATGACAGAACGAGATTGTCTCAAAAAAAAAAAAAAAGAAAGAAAAAAAGAAAGCTCGTCTTCCTAACTCTGCAGGACCGGGTCAGCGGGTCAGTGTCCACACCGGCTTGAAGGCTCTGAACATATCTATCTCGCTATAGAAGTAAGCTAGGCGGCCGGGCGCGGTGGCTCAAGCCTGTAATCCTAGCACTTTGGGAGGCCGAGACAGGCGGATCACGAGGTCACAAGATCAAGACCATCCTGGCTAACACGGTGAAACCCCGTCTCTACTAAAAAAAATACAAAAAACTAGCCAGGCGAGGTGGCGGGCGCCTGTAGTCCCAGCTACTTGGGAGGCTGAGGCAGGAGAATGGTGTGAATCCGGGAGGCGGAGCTTGCAGTGAGCTGAGATCCAGCCACTGCACTCCAGCCTGGGCGACAGAGCAAGACTCTGTCTCAAAAAAAAAAAAAAGAAGGAAGCTAGGCTGACAGCACCCTGGACATTAGAAACAGGATGAGGATTAACAATTCGCCTCAAAAATCATTCACCTACAAAGTAGCTGACTATATTTTCTTCATTTGAAGACAAACATGGAGTGGTTCCCACGGGACACCCAGCACACCAGACTGCTGTGGTGTGGAGCCTGCACCACTCTCTAGGCAGGGGTCTGACGCATCAGGAAGTACGAACAATGAGAGGAAGAGTTTCGTCCAGATTTACCGAAAAAATGACTTTTTAGGGGCCGGGTGCAGTGGCCCATGCCTGTAATCCCAGCACTTCGGGAGGCCGAGGGCGGTGGATTACCTGAGGTCAGGAGTTCGAGACCAGCCTGGCCAATATGGTGAAACCCCATCTTTACTAACAACACAAAAATTAGGTGGGTGTGGTGGCGTGCGCCCATAATCCCAGCTACTCAGGAGGCTAAGGCAGGAAAATTGCTTGAACCCAGGAGGCAGAGGCTGTAGCGAGCCGAGATCACACCACTGCACACCTGCCTGGGTGACAGAGAGAGATTCCCTCTCAAAAAAATAAAAATAAAAATGAGTTTCTCAGATAAAGCGATGGTGGTAGAGCAGAAAGACACGCTAGCAGCCACTGAAGAGGAGCATCTGAGCACCCTTACAGGGCGTGGGTGCCGAGAGCAGAGCCTGCGGGAGGCCCGTGTCTGTTGCAGGCAGCGCACGTCGCTCTGAGCCCGCCTCTGCCGTGCTCACGGGGTTCCAAGGATTTCAAACAATGCACGAGTGCAAAGCGTGTACAGCTCAGGGCGTAGTAACATGTGCTCCAGGAATAGTGGCCCTCACACTGCCACGTGGGTTCTATAAGCTTAGGATTTTTAACAGTTTGTCCTATTCCTGTACAGACAGGCAGGCGGGGAGAACACAGCCCTTGAAAGCAGACGGACAACGCCGCTCCCGCTTCTGCCTGGCCACAAACTATCCGGTAACTGCACACAGGTTACTCTCGGTTCTGGAGAACAGGTGCCTGGGCTCAGACTGGCTCCAACACCACTACCTGCGTGGCCTCAGGCAGCTCAGCTCTTCCACAGCTCCGTAAAGTGAGGTGCGTGGGGACGAATTCACACGGCAGGCCCAAGGCTGTGTCCTACCAGGGCCTGTGTGCAAGGCTGGCCCTTGACTGACATCTGAGAACTCAGATTCTGGGCGAGTTCCCAGCACCATTAACTCCTACAAGTGGCTCTGTGCCCGCAGTGCTTGTGCACCTGGCACAGACCGCACCAAGCCCACCCTCCTTCTGGACAAGTCAGAAATTTCCACACAGGCCAGGCAGGTGGAACCATGTGACCAGCCCTTAGCAAAAGCCGGGTGCTGAGTCTCCAGCGAGCTTGTTCTTACAGTCAGGTGTGTCCTGTGTGACTCCAGGGAGTGGCCCCTGGGGCGCCCTGCACGTGGCTCCTCTGAGCACCACCCACACACCCTCTCCCTTTGCTGATTCTGCTTTGTGCCGAGTACAGCCCTGTGCTGAGTCCTGTGAGATCTCCCAGCAGGTTACGCAACCGGGGGCTGGCCTTGGGGCACCCCCGCAAAGAATAATAGTAATACCTACTTCACAGGATTAGACTGGGGATCCCATGAGCGAAGAGGTTACAGGCTCAGTTCCCAGCAGCTATGTGTGACACGGGGCGGTAATACCTGTCTACCACGTCGGTTGCAGTAAACAATGAGATAATATATATAAAAATATTTTGTAAAGAGTGAAGAATTACACAAATAAAAAGTGGCATTATTACTCATAAATGGCAAGTATTTTTGAGTATATATCATTGCTAATAAATATCTGCTTGCTGAATACAGACACAAGCCAAATTCCAAACACACATTAGGTACCAACTGGATACAAGAAACTCTTGGTGTTTCCTTCCCCTTTATGGGAGAGAGATCTTTAAAATAAAAAACCTTGATAATATAATATTACTACTTTCTATTATCATCTGTTATGCAGTTCTACACATTATCTGACAAATTCTTAATGTAATCTGGTGAGAGAAAAATAATTTGAGGAGAAAGTATTTAGGGAGTGATGAAACACAGAAAAGTACTTGTGGTAAGGACCAGTATTGTATTTGACTTTTTAAAAAACCATTTTTACCCTGGAGCTAAAATACGAGGTTACACTGTTCTGCTTGATACAATACGGGCAGCTTACAAATGCTTCAGAGAAACCACATCCCCAGCAGCTGCAGAGCGTCAGGAGGAAGCCCTCCGTCTCTGAGGCTTCGGGCACTTCTGCTCCGAGGGTGGCGGGAGTGGAGGTCGCTGCTGAAGGGTGGCGGTGTGGCCATGGCACAGGCAGCAAGGGACAGACGACGCCAGAGGCCCAGAAGGCTCATGACTGCCGGCCTCGCGTCACTAAAAGCAGTTTTATTTCATCCTTGTCTTACTTTTCTAGTATGGCTTCCTCTACTCTCTTAAACTTCTTTAGTTCCACAACCAGTTCCCAGTATCTGAGATAGAGCCACATGAGTCTGCCATTCTGGCGTTTGTTGGTGTTCCAGACTTCACCACAGTATGTATCGTGCTGAAATATGTCGGTGAGACCGGCTGCCATCTCTAGGTCCGCAGCAACGGGGTCGACGGACGCTCGCACCAGTAAGCTCTTCTCCAGCTCCAGCCGCTTGCTGCGAGGAAGAAACAGACTGCAGTAGATGTTCTGTCTTTCCGTGAGGACAGCTTCAAACTCTTTCAGCAAAAGCCTGGCTCTCCTTTGCCAGTTTTCTTCCTTTTGCAGGCAGCTCAAATACGCATTTCTCAAAGGCTGCACCTGCCTTTTTTCTTGCATCACCTGGGCCCGTTCCTGTTCCAGAAGCTTCTTCTCTTCTACCAACTTGCGCCCCTGAGAGAGAAGGGCTTCTCGATAACTAGCTGTTCTGTTCTGTTCCTTTCCGAGTTCCAGGGACAACTGAGCAACAGCACGCCGATTTTCTGAGATCATGGCGTGGTACTTGGCTTCCAGATCCTGTTGAAAAGCAGTAGTTCTCTGACGGCAGGCTTCCCTCTCTTTTTCTATTTCTTTCTGGGATTCCCTAGACCAAATCCAACCTGACATGAATGGAGACAAATGCACAAAATGAAAAAGTTAGGGCTGAAGTTCTATAATTTTCACTTAAATCATAAGGCAGCTAAGGATAGCATTTCAATAAAAGCTTAAGACCTCAGCCGTACCAAGATCACTTCTGTACAAAAACGTGTCACAGGCCAGGTTCTTATCTTAAAATCAGGCAAGGGCTGGGTGACCAAACGATCCTAGCCCTAATCCTTTCCGTCTTCTAATTGTTTGTTGCTAAGAAGATCTCCCACTGCTTTTTTCTCCTCTCAAACCCACCACCATTTGCCTGCTCTGGCTCTAGTACAACTGGCAAAGTTTAAAATATCTGGGGTCGGCTTCAACTACCGTTGGCCGGGTTCTTATAAAAGTTGTATTTAGCTTTGCCTGGTGGCAACGAGTCAACGGCCTGAGTTTGAGACACTGCTTACATTCTGATAAGGACACATGAAAATAAAGTGGGTTAAAAAGTTTAGCCTCGGCCGGGCGCGGTGGCTCAAGCCTGTAATCCCAGCACTTTGGGAGGCCGAGACGGGCGGATCACGAGGTCAGGAGATCGAGACCATCCTGGCGAACACGGTGAAACCCCGTCTCTACTAAAAAAATACAAAAAATTAGCCGGGCGAGGTGGCGGGCGCCTGTAGTCCCAGCTACACAGGAGGCTGAGGCAGGAGAATGGCGTAAACCCGGGAGGCGGAGCTTGCAGTGAGCTGAGATCCGGCCACTGCGCTCCAGCCCCGGCGACAGAGCGAGACTCCGTCTCAAACAAAAAGAAAAAAAAAAAAAGTTTAGCCTCAAGACACAGTGGGCTTCTTTCCTCAAACTGGAGACTGCCGGAATCTCACGAAAACGGGACGGGGACTGCTGGGAGGCTGGAGTGGGCATTGCCCGGCTCTGCCCCTCACACCAAGGAGCAGCAGGGCGGCCTGCGCTGCAGAGAAATCCGGTGCCTCTAAGACCTGATGACCCACAGAGCCTGCCGGCCAGCGTGCACCTGGCTCCAGATGGAGTCACCGACTCTTTGCCCGTCCCACAAGTAAGAGTTGGGTGTGTTTCAACAATAAAAAAATGACCGTGCGATAACAGTTCCATCCACATTCCGAACTGATGCTATTGCTCAATAATTTCATACACGTTAGAGCAACTACTGCTAAGTCTGTTTTTCCAAATAGCGATGCGTTCTGCTTGGACATTCTAAAAGCAGCACGGAATTGAGTCCTCTGGAAAACAGGATTGTATGGCAAATTTTCAAAGCCCAAGGCCCCAAGCAGCAGTGTGGGTTCCCTCGTGCGCTTCTATCCTGCAACCCATCCCCCACTAACCACTCTGTGGAATCCCTCTTCCATAGCCCCTTCTAGAACCACTGGAGTTTGCATCCACTTTCATGGTTCTCTTCCTCCTTTCGCTGCTTCCCCCAACCCAGGCGGCGTCCTTGGCATTCAATTCTTTTCTCCCAGGTCATTAATGGTCACCTTTTTCTCCTGGGTCATTAATGGCCTTTGTGGGAGCAATTCCATGACAGCAAGATTTCCGTTAGCCTGAAAGCCAGTCTCCCTTGGATATGCTGTTGACACCTCACCGGGTAAGCACAAAACCAAACTCATCCTTCCTCAACCAAAAATAGCTGCTAGTCCTACTTCAGATGACAACTCAAACTCATGTCATCTTTATCTCCTCCCTTTGACAAGAGCTCACAGGCAGAGGCCTGACCAGGAAAGAAGCTGCTACAATGTCACTTGATAAGCACTGAGGGGTTTGCAAAGGTATGTGAGGAGAGAGAAGGGAAGGCTCGTCTGGTTTTGGTGAAGTCAAGGAAGGCTTCATAAAAAGGTGAATGAACAAAGTCTGGAAGGCTGAGCAGGAGCTGCAAGGAAGTTACCTGAAGTCAAACGAGCAGGGCAGACGAGAGCCTTGGAGAGCGAGAGGTTCCAGGAGCCAGATGTGCCTGGGGACGGGGCTTACGTCAAGGAGAAGCTGGCGCTGCCTTTGGAGAGTCACAGGTGCCAAATGAGAGGGGCCCCCAGGAGACCCGGAGAAGGAGCACGGGATGTGCTCTGCAGCCATGAGGAGTCAAAGGAATTAACGTGACTTAAGAGCATCCAGGAGGTGTGGAGGGCTGGAAGTGGGGCTGGGAGAGGTGGGGCTGGGAGGGGTGGGGCCAAATCAAGAGGAGACAGGCAGCTGCTCCCTGATACAATCTGGGGGCGATCTCAGTCAAGTCACATCATTGACAAGTAAAACCACTGGAAAACTAACACAGACAATGATGCATACAGTTAATCATCAGACCCCACCACACAGGCTGTGGTTATTGGGAAGTTTGGGGCTGGACGGGGAGCCAGGCAGTGGAGGCTGCAGGCAGCTTTGCAGAGGAAAATGTGGCACGACAGGCTGGGCGTCAGGAAAACCTGAATTCCGAGTCTGACCCGACAGATGCCTCATGACTCTGGGCACATGCGACTTTTCAAAGCCTCAGTTTCAGGTGGGACTCCTGCTTCTGGGAAGACGGAGTAGACGTCCTCCCTATTCTTCTAAGAAAACTAAGAAGACACAGTAGACGTCCTCCCTATTCTTCTAATTGAACTAAAAATCCTGGACTTCATTGATAAAACAAGATGACTCTGAAAGGTAGAGAGAAGGGAGACTGGCTTGGGTCCCTGGGACCCCAGGAACAACATGGGGGCAAGTCCTCTAGATTTTCATTTTGCTTCATAGATCCCAGACTTGGAGCTGAAGACACAGGTAATTAGAAATCTCAACGGGTGCAGACAAAAAAAGAAACTCCAACAGAGCCTGCTATCTTGGCCCAAAGGACCATGATAGGGGCCTGGTAAGGGAGAAAACATTCCAACAGTAATCACTCTACATCAGCCAAGTAATACAGAAAAAACTGCGGCCCCCGCTCCCACCCAGCGGCAAACACAGGGTGGGGTTGGGGGGAGCCACGTGGGGAGCTGAGGCCTTCCCAGCCAGGGGCACCCGTAAAGGCCAGGGGGCTGGAACTCCCACCCTTTCCTCGGGGGCCCACGGGGGTCAGAGGCTGAGTGGGAGCCTGGACTTCTGTCCCAACCTGGCGGTAAGGAGGCTGCGTGGCCCTTCCCCGGCCAGGGTGTTGTTCAAGAACGCCAGCTAAAACTGAAGGTTTAAATAAAAACCAGTGTTTCATCACGTAACACCCAAAATGCCCAGGTTCCAGCAGAAAATCACTCACAGTACCAAGGGTTAGGATGGGTCATGCTAAATGAACAAAGATGACCAACAGATGCCAAAAGCCGGATGAGAGACGGCAGTATTATCTGACGAGGACTTCAGAGCAGCCGCCATGACAGAGAGTCAACGAAAACAAACAGAAGACATAAAGAAGAACCAAATGAAAATTCTAAAACTGAAAAACAGAACAACTGGGAGGAAAACTGGAATGATGGACTAGACATGGAGAAGCAAGAGCAGCGCGCCCCGGGCAGAGGCTCAGGACTCCCCCATGAACACAGGAGCAATCCTTTGCAGCCTAGCCACAAACATAATTCCACAATATGTAAAAGGAATTCTATAGCATGGCCACGGGGGGATCGCTCCAGAGACAAAAGGCTGGTTCAATATTCAAAAATCAATGTAATCTAACACATTACTGGCCGGGCGCTGTGCACTTTGGGAGGCCAAGGCGGGCGGATCACGAGGTCAGCAGATCGAGACTATCCTGGTTAACACGGTGAAACCCTGTCTCTATTAAAAATACAAAAAAATTAGCGAGGCGTGGTGGCGGGCGCCTGTAGTCCCAGCTGCTGGGTAGGCTGAGGCAGGAGAATGGCGTGAACCCGGGAGGTGGAGCTGGCAGTGAGCCGAGATTGCGCCACTGCACTCCAGCCTGGGTCACAGAGCGAGCCTCTGTCTCAAAACAAAACAAAACAAAACAAACAACTAACACGTTACTAAGCTGATGAAGAAAAATCACATGATCACATCAATTTATTTATTTATTTATTTTTTTTTTTTTTTTATTTTTGAGACGGAGTCTCACTCTGTCACCCAGGCTGGAGTGCAGTGGCCGGATCTCAGCTCACTGCAAGCTTCGCCTCCCGGGTTTACGCCATTCTCCTGCCTCAGCCTCCCGAGTAGCTGGGACTACAGGCGCCGCCACCTCGCCCGGCTAATTTTTTGTATTTTTTCAGTAGAGACAGGGTTTCACTGTGTTAGCCAGGATGGTCTCGATCTCCTGACCTCGTGATCCGCCCGTCTCGGCCTCCCAAAGTCCTGGGATTACAGGCTTGAGCCACCGCGCCCGGCGTTTCAGCCATTTTCTAATAGACTGTTTGTTTTTAACGTTGAGTTTTGAGAGTTGTTAATATGTCTTAGGTTCTAGTCCTTAGTTGCATATGTGGCTTGCAAGTATCCTTTTCCAGTCTGTAGCCTGTCTGTTCATTCTCTTCAGAGGGGCGTTTGCAGTGTAAAAGTGGTACTTTTGATGAGGGGCAGCTTCTCATCGTTTCCTTTTATGAACTCTACTCTTTGTGGAAAGTCTAGGAATTCTGCCCTAGGTCCTGAAGGTTTTTTCTTCAAAAAAAAAGAAAATGGCTGAAAGACAAGAATACTCATTCCATCAGGATATGCTGATGGCAATGAGCACGTGAGGAGGTGCTCGACGTTGCACACTTGAGCCACGATGAGAAAAGATGCTCAACACTGCACAGCAGAGCCATGACGAGACAGCACCACACACCCATCAGGATGGGCAGACAGGACAGCAGTGTGAGCACCAAATGCCAACCAGGAGGTGGAGAACCCGATCAGCTCTGCATTGCTGGTGAGAACCTAAAACGGTGCAGCCACTTGTGAAACATTTCAGCCCTTTCTTTTTTTTTTTTTTTTTGAGACGGAGTCTCCCTGTGTCTCCCAGGCTGGAGTGCAGTGGCGTGATCTCGGCTCACTGCAAGCTCCGCCTCTCGGGTTCACGCCATTCTCCCGCCTCAGCCTCCCAAGTAGCTGAGACTACAGGCGCCCGCCACCTCGCCCGGCTAGTTTTTTTTTTTTTTTGTATTTTTAGTAGAGACGGGGTTTCACCATGTTAGCCAGGATGGTCTCGATCTCCTGACCTCGTGATCCACCCGCCTCGGCCTCCCAAAGTGCTGGGATTACAGGCTTGAGCCACCGCGCCCGGCCCAGCCCTTTCTTAAAAAACTAAACGTGCAACTTCCATAACACCTAGTAATTTCACTTCTGGCACTTTATCCCAGAGAAATGAAAACTTACATTGACACAAAAACCTACACAAGAATGTTTATGAGAGCTTTATTCATAACAGCTGAAAACCGGAAAGGTCTTTCAGTGGTTAAACACACTGTGGTATGTCCATGTCATCAAACACCACTCAGCAATGAAAATATCTATGAACTACTGATACAGCAACAATCTGCACGGACCTCAGGGGGTTACGCTGAATGAAAAAAGTCAACCCAAAAGGTTATATACCGTTTGATTCCATTTATATAACATTCTTGAAATGACGAAGTTCTGGAGATGAAGAACAGATCAGCAGTTGCTGGGGGCTGTGGAGGGAGGGCGGAACACAGGGCAGCACGAGGGGCCCGGGATTGGGGGATCTTGACGGCATCCTGGCAGATGTCTTGGCTGCGACACTGCACTGTCATGTTGCAGATGCTTCCATTGGGGAAAGCTGGGTAGAGGGTACACGGGCTCTCTCTATTACTGATGACAACTGCATGTGACTTACATCACCCCAAAATAAAATATTTAATTAAAAGAAACTGAGTTGGGCCCCGTGAACTCAACCAGTCCCTTTCAGCTCTAAGACCATGTGTTTTCTAGGTCAGGAGAGGAAACGGGAGGAACAGGAACGCTAGAGGGGAGAAAGCATGGAGAGATGGGAAAAGCACGGAGAGAGAGATGGGGAAAGGGGAATCAGGAAGACCGAGAGAAAAGGGGGGAAAGCAGAATGACAGAGGAGGTGTGAAGAGAGAGAAGCCCACTGGAGTGCTGAAATACTGAATAGTCTCCCAGGGGAGCTACTCAGGGTAAGAATTTCTCCAGGGACTGCTCTTTCAGGCAAGCACAATTACACACATTTCTATGTTATATTAAGTAAAAATCTAGTAAATGGCCTGGGCACAGTGGCTCACACCTGTAATCCCAGCACTTTGGGAGGCTGAGGCAGGCAAATCACGAGGTCAGGAGATAGAGACCATCCTGGCCAACATGGTGAAACCCTGTCTCTACTAAAAATACAAAAATTAGCCGGGCATGGTGGTGGGTGCCTGTAATCCCAGGTCCTCAGGAGGCTGACGCAGGAGAATCACTCGAACCAGGGAGTCGGAGGTTGCAGTGAGCCGAGATTGCGCCACTGCACTCCAGCCTGGCAACAGAGCAACACTCCGTCTCAAAAAAACAAAAAAAAAAACAAAAAAAATCTAGTAAATGAAATAAGTGATCAGGACAAAACTGGCTTCTCATCAATAAATCAATCAATGGCGCTTATGAAGTATTCATACGCCTGCCTCTTCTTCTAGACTACACTCCTGTGTGCAACAGAACCTCAAACACACCATAACACACCTTTGGAGAATCCTTACAAGAATGCCAAGTTAACAATTATCTCTCACCACACTACCTCAGCAAAAAACCAAGAAGAAAAAATAAAATATTCTTCAACCCTTTTCAGGGACAGAAAGCATCATTTCAAAAGTCCAAGAATGGGAGGTAAGAATTTCAAAAGTGAAAGTTACCATGAAAGGCTATAAAAGCTGGAGATGAGTCTGAAAAACAAATGGAAAATGAGTCACTTCAGGGCCTCTCCCAGCCTCAAAGCCAATTAATTATTACATTAGTAGGAGTAATTTTAAGCCTTCCAATCCACTCACCCTAGCCACAGGCAACAGTAGCCTCTCCAAGTGTTAAGTGTTTTTTTTCCCAAGCCTGCAGGCGAGTGAGCTTTTCACATGGCAGCCCCTTAGCACTGGATGTGGACCTGCCCTGTCTTTCACCAAGAAGCAAGCACTGTGCAGATCACTGAGTCATAAAAACCACCTGCTCTTACCAGCCTCCTCTTCCTCTACAGCAAAACTCCTGACCTGAGACATGGAAGCAGATAAAAAGCCTCTACGTAAAATGTACCACTACAGCTAGAGGGCAGTTTTGCCTTTCTTCCATTCAATTACTCAGTCTCTCATGTTCCTAAATGCCAGCCCAGAACCATGGAACCTGAAGAAACACAAAATGCACTCCTCTGCATCAGTGAATTGATTGTGTGGTGGGGATATAAGTCTGCATGTGACTGACAGGTCCCCAACGTGATGCCAAGTCAATCTAAACTAGAGAGAATTTCTGGTCAGGCCAAGCAGAGATTTCCTGGATGAAGTCTCCGAAGATTGATTTCCTAAACATTAAACATCACTGGTTTTCCAAAACTGGTTTTCTTTTTTTGTTTTTTTTAAACCCTGTTGCCCAGGCTGGAGGGCAAGTGGTGCCATCTCCACTCACTGCAGCCTCGACCTCCCAGCTCCACTGATCTCCCCACCTCAGCCTCCTGAGGAGCTGGGACTACAGGTGTGCATGGCCACAACTGGCTAATTTTTGTATTTTTGTAGAGATGGGGTTTTGCTGTGTGGCTCATACCGGTCATGCGATCTGCCTACCTGCGCCTCGCAGAGTGCTGGGATTACAGGTGTGAGCTACCACGCCCAGCCCACTGATTTGCTTTACACCCATTTTTTCCCTCATCAGTCCTTATGAAGGCACCTGAAACAAGGAACCGCCCCCCCTGAATTGAGAGCAGCAAAGCCTTGAGAGGGAACTTAGTTATTAAAACCCACCCCACACAAAATGCTTCTAAACGCCTTGGCTGACTTAATCCTTGCAATGTGCTGAGGTTAAGTATGATTATCCATCTCCTGTGAACAGGAAAACTGAGGCTCAGAGGTTAAATGATTGGCCCACGGTTCACTGCATGGGATAAAACTCGGCTGTCCCTGACAGGTCCCAAAGTCACGGCCTTCAGGCTCCCACATCATGCTGCCTCCCTCACTGGGGCTCCACACTCTCAGCCTGGAAAACATGAATTTTAAGAAAACCATGACTTACGAAAAGCAGCCAGTCCCAGCATTGGAACCAACAGGGCATAATTCCATCTGCTTCCATCACCACCATCCGCCCTGGAATTAGGCCGGATATTCCAGTTTGGGGGATCATTCAGGTTATTCATGGAGATATACCTTGAAGTAAAGAATAAAAACGTTAACTAGTTTTATTCAAGAAATGTTCTTCAGTTTTAACTATGTGTGCACAGCATTGAGGCCCTATGGGATTCAAAGAAGGAAAAAACAAGACCAGGGTCGGGCGTGATGGCACACACCTGTAGTCCCAGCTACTCGGGAGGCTGAGGCAGGAGAATCGCTTGAACCCGGGAGGTGGAGGTTGCAGTGAGCCAAGGTCACACCACTGCACTCCAGCCTGGCGACAGAACGAGACTCCGTCTCAAAAACAAACAAACAAACAAAAAAACCAAGAACTTAGAGGAAAGTGACTCACAATCTGGTTGGGGAAAGTGGAGAAAACAGACATGTCTTAAGCATCTGAAGTGCAGGTAGAATCAGGTAAGTTCTCTAGTACAAATATGTTTAAATGTATGGCTGCTGCGATGGTTAATTTTGTATGTCAACTTGACGTACCACGAGGTGCTCAGATACATGGTTAGGCATTATTTCTGGGTGTGTCTCTAAGGGAGTTTTTGGATGAGATTAGCATTTGAACCTTTAAACCAATTTCTTACATCTCTCCCCTCTATTGGTTGTTTCTCTGGAGAACCCTCATACAGTTGTATCAAAGATACAGAATCAATTCGAAAGAAGTGGGCTCACACCAGACACTTCCTATGAGCTAGGGTTTGAAGAGTGAGCAGCATTCTGACAGGCAGAGAAAGAAGGAAAGGGTCTTCTCATCAGGAGGAAGACTGTGAGGAAGGCAGGGAGGGGTGATGTGGTGGGGAAGGTGCAAACAGTGCTAGAAGCTTCTCAGGCCTCCTGGTGTGGTGGTGATGAATGCAGAGATGACAGAGCTCTCTGCTTCGGGCTCAGCATGCACCCTCTATAGCAAGGCTGGGGGGCTAACTTTAATAAGAATTTACTAATTTACTGAGTACCTACACGAGGTTGCACGTTTTCACAAAGTAGAGTCACTTTAAATTTGTTTACATGTGACCCCCACAAATACACACGATTATAAAATAGTCAAGGGATGTATAATAAACAAGAAATCCAATCCAATTTCTGAAAACTTTTCATGGGATTTTCAACAAATATTTAACATCTAAAGATAGAAAATTATGATAAGCAATAAAGATATGACAAAAATATGTCTCAGAGCTTAATACTAATGGATTTGTGGTAATTATAGAATTAAAAAATTAAGGCCAGGCGCGGTGGCTCACGCCTGTAATCGCAGCACTTTGGGAGGCTGAGGCAGGTGGATCACCTGAGGTCAGGAGTTTGAAATCAGCCTGGCCAATATGGTGAAATACATATTTCACTCTACTAAAAATACAAAAATTAGCTGGGCCTGGTGGCGGTGGCCTGTAGTCCCAGCTACTTGGGAGGCTGAGGCGGGAGAATCTCTCTCTTTTTTTTTTTTAGACGGAGTCTTGCTGTGTTGCCCAGGCTGGAGGGCAGTGGCGTGATCTCCGCTGTCCGCGGGAGAATCTCTTGAACCCTGGAGGCGGAGGTTGCAGTGAGCTGAGATCGCACCATTGCACTCCAGCCTGGGCAACAAGAGCGAAACTCCATTTCAGACAAAACAAAACAAAATTAGATAGATAACTCACCCAGCACCAAAACTGCATAACTAAAAAAAAAGTCTAGGAGGTACTATGTCCATTCCCTGCAAGCCAATAAAGGCCACGTCTGGGGCATACATCCAAGAAAATAATCCTAAAGATGAAGTTACGGTCACAAATATGTTCTGTACGGTGTTATTTATTAAGAGTAAAAATGGGAAACAACCCAAATATCAATAAAATGGGACTGAACCATTGCAAATTTACTAAAATAACTCAACATTGTTAAACATCTCGCATAAGAGAAAGATTTTAATAATTTAAAGTGAAAAGACAGGAAACAAAATTGCTAATGATTATTGGTTTATTTTTCATGCCACTTCATTCCACAAAAAGATTTCAGATATCTTACAAAAAGACACACTAGAAATATTAAAATACTCTCTGAACCTTAAGCAAAATCAGGGTAAGCTAGCAGGAAGGCGTATAAGCCAAAGGGATCTACGCATCTTTAAAAGCTGACCACGGCCCTGCGCGGTGGCTCCGCCCCTAATCCCCGCACTTGGGGAGGCCGAGGAAGGAGGATCGCTTGAGGCCAAGAGTTTGAGACCAGTCCGGGCAACACAGCAAGATCCCGCCACTACAAAAAATTTAAAAATCAGCCGGAAGCCAGAAGCTAGGGACATGGCTGAGGATCGCTCCCGCCCCTCGGAGGCCGGAGACCGAGGGTCACTCCCGCTCAGTAGAGGCCGGAGGCCCCGGGTCGCTCCCGCCCACCTCCGCGGGCGAGCGCAGCCCCTCCGACCCCATTCCCTGCGGTCTGGACGTTCAGGCCCCCTCTGTCTGGGCGATCCCGCAGAACCACCCACGGCGCTTTAAAAATGTTAGTGCCCAACACCTCCCCAAAATAGGGCCCGCTCTACCTCGGTCGCGGAGCCCAGGACCTCCGCGTCCCCTCAACGCCTCCGTCCGCGGGTCCGCTTTGCGCAGGCGCGGCGCCCCCACTCAGCCCCCGCCCGGGCGTGACGTAGTGCGCAGGCGCGATGTCCCCCACTACCGCCCCGCTCGACCCCGGCGTGGTGCGCAGGCGCGATATCCCCCTAGCGCGACCCCGGCGTGGTGCGCAGGCGCAGTCTGCGCAGGGACTGGCGGGACTGCGTGGCGGCGTCAACAGTCATGTCGGGGGTCCGGAGACTGTCGCGGCTGCTGAGCACTCGGCGCCTGGCGCTGGCCAAGGCGGTCAGTCCGTACCGCGGACCGGGGCGGGACAGGCTGGGGCCGAGGCGGCGGTAGGAGCGGGACGGTCCCCAGCGGGTGCGAGCGGAGCGGGCGCCGGGTCCCCGCGCCCCCGCGCCCCCGGTCCGGGGATCGGGAAGGGGCTGGGAGAGCCCTGGGCCGGTGCGAGGCGGAGCCGCGGGGCGGACTCGGGGAACCGGGGAGCTCGGTCCTTAGCAGGTAGTCCGCTTCCCGGTGAAGGTCACGACCCCGCGGGCTTTCTGGTCGTCCGCTCTGCTGCCTTGGTCCGGGCCTGGGTCCGGGAACCCCGCGGGCTGAGGTGGCCCCTCGCCTCAGTGCCTGGCGGGTGGACTCGGGGAGGAGTCGTGTCTGCCCAAGGTCACTCGGGCGGATAGCGGCCGGTGGCCGTCCTGGCTGGGCTGGGCCTCTGCCGCCCTCTGTGCGGGTTGTCCCGAGGGGCCGCCCGCAGCCCGTGGGTGTGGCGGGCGGGGCGGGTGAAACCGCCCGGGTGGGTGCGAGGAGTGGCCGGGCTCGGCCAGTGGGCGGCTGGTGGGAAGAGCTGCGCGCCCGAGCTTGGGCTTGCAGTTCCGCTTTCCAGAAAAGCGCAAATCTGTGCGTGTCCACTTCGCGACCTTGTAAGTTAAGGGTGTCAACTTTGGGTCGTGTTTGGTGGCCCTTGTGCCACTGAAAATGTGTCGGTGTTTACAAGCAGCTGTGCCAGTTTTTAAAAATCAGACGGAGAGCTCAGCGCACTGACCGGGCGAGGACGCGGGACCGGTGCTTGCCTGTGCGCTGAGTGCCTCGAGGGCCGGGCTCGGCTTAGTCCAGGATGACGGTCAGGGTTATGCTTCCCTGAGCCCTCGCTCTCTGAGTTTGTCTGAATGTGCCCTCCACGATTGCATCTTCAGAATCGGCCTTCTAGGGTTTTAGTTCATCAAGCTGAATTGGATAGGTTTCGTTGCTTGGTTCTTTTGAATGAACTTACCCACCCACCTCCTTAATTACGAAGTAATTTTAAATTGCAGAGTAAAAATGTCAGTAGGAACCAAGGCATTCAGCAATATTGATTTGAATTATGTCTATAAATGTGCCGTTTTCTCCTTTTTGAAATAGTTATTAAAAACCTCGTTGAATTAAATGTGAAGATTAGTCATACAGCCATCCTGTCACATCAGAAAGCATGTAAACGTTCTAGTGTGTTGCTGTGATTGGTGCTGACTGAGCAGAGATCCCTGCCGCATCTTGGGCTTTTAAGAGCTGCTTGGAGGGCGTTGACAAGCCAGAAGTAAAGCCCATGGTCAGTGGGGCTTTTTAGGGGAAATGTTAGCTTGTGATTGGAGAAAAGCTAGGGCTGGTGCCTTTGTCCTTAACCCAGATGGTGCCCAGTGTTCCTCCTGCAGCCTCAGACCCCGCCAGCGGCGGAGGCACCTCAGACAAGATGGCAAGATAGCGAAATTTAACCAAAATTTAGTCTTGGGTTTTGTAAAAGTCTTTTTATCTATGAACTTAGCTTTTCCTACAGAAATTCTGCCTGCAAGCAGTATATTTATCGGCATTTCAGATAGGCTTTTATTCTTGAAGAATTGGAGTTTACAAAGGAACAGCGTAATCAAATTAGCAGAAAAAAAATTCATGATAGCCAACTGAGAAATGTGTTTGGAAAACAGATGCTGAGGATAATTTCAGTAAAGTCCAGAGAGAATTTTTAAATCTAATTTTGGCCAGTTCTGTGGTGTTTTTGATCATTCTATATTTACAGCTGATTTCAAGTGACGAACCTTTCAGACTTATTTTGCTTTTGGTTTCTTTTTATGTCCCGGTGCACTGACACAGCTTCCAAACTGTTCGAAAGCAATGTAATCAGAGGAAAAGTAAAACCAAGAAACTTAAATAGTTACTGGGTTAACTGCTTACTTCAGGTGAAGTTTTTCAAATCCCTTAATATGAATATCCAGTATATGGGTTCTAGGACAAATTGATTTCTTTGAATGGATTGTTCTGAATGCGTTTAATGGTGTTCTAGAAATGCATTATTTAGGCCATTATAGTAGTAAATATTTGCTTTGCTTCTTGGGATAATTGTAACAACAGTGGCATTCCATTCTGCATTCTTCATGATGTTTTTGCTGATTTATTTGAAAAATTGTGGCTTGGTTTTGATATGAAACCTGGATATTAATATTAGTTGGGAGTCTCAGAGATTTTTCCCAAGGGTCTTTAGATGGGGGCCAAGTCCAGGATCCAGAGCCAGCTGACCTACTTGAATCCTCTCTGAGGTTCCGTCTTTCCGTGGGGTTAGTGGGGTTTCTGTGGGTAATGTTTGAAACCTTTGGTGGTGCTCTTGTGAACCAGGGCTCACAGCCTGTGCACAGTAACCATGTGTGAACTGTATTTTTTTTTTTTTCTCGAGAGGGATTCTCACTCTGTGGCCCAGGCTGGAGTGCAGTGGCACTATCTTGGTTCACTGCAAGCTCTGCCTCCCGGGTTCACGCCATTCTCCTGCCTCAGCCTCCCCGGTAGCTGGAACTACTGCCATCACGCCCGGCTAATTTTTTTTGTATTTTTAGTAGAGATGGGATTTCACTGTGTTAGCCAGGATGGTCTCACGATCTCCTGACCTCGTGATCTGCCCGCCTCAACCTCCCAAAGGGCTGGGATTACAGGCGTGAGCCACTGTACCTGGCCTAACTGTATTTTAAGTATCCGTTTTTAAAATAATAAAAACTGAAGTTCTAGTGAGAATAATTACACGTAGTTGTAAAAGAATCAGTGAGTATACCACCGCCCCCAGTTCATTTTCCGTGAAAGCAATTCCTGTTTCTGATACCGACTCCTGGTGTTTGCAAGACCTCTGTTTCTTTAGCGGATGTGCAGGTTGTGCAGGTGCATTTTTATCAGTTTTAGACTTCTTGCCTGGAGAGGGGATTTAGTTCACTTAAACTACCCTACTTCCGCTTCTTCCTCATACGGTCATGCGTGTTTAGGTTCTTCGCTGGCTGCTTTTGTGATTGTGTGGGTTGTACATGCAGATTAGTTTCTTGCTCATGATTTATAGTTGCATTTGATTAGATGAGGACCCCTCACTTTGCTAGATTTCGGAATTAATGTCTCTGCACTTCTTTTCCCCCTCCAGCTCCTAATTCAGTTGTCTGAAATTCCATATTGTTAAGCAAGGTCTAATATTCCTTTTATATATTCCCCATTTTTTTCTTAGAGGAAATGTTTGATTGTTTCTCCTAAAAAAATTAATAATTGGCACACAAGACTAGTCTTGTGTCAAAACTAGTTTTCAGTTTTATCTAAAGACTGAAATTGGCTTAAAGTTGGGCTTTCACATTCAAAACTCTGCCCCAGATTAGATTTAGACACAGAGGGTGAGTGTCCTTGTCCCCAAGGGGATGGCGTGATAATTTGTTCACGGTTGTGTTATGGGAGCTGCCCCTTCTAAGCTGGCTCTATGTGTGTGTGGCCGGGGCAGGCAGTGGGCATTCCATGTCAGCATCCTAGAAAGAACAAATAAACTTTAGTGATCTCACTGTTTCTACTTACAGTTGGTGTAATACACTGTTGTTATTGGTGCTGTTACCTGTGTTAATAGGGCAGTTTACAAAAGTTTCAAGAAAGTTTGTATTAAAATTATTTCAAAGACTTCTTTTTTTTTTTTTTTTTTTGAGACGGAGTCTTGCTGTCACCCAGGCTGGAGTGCAGTGGCCGGATCTCAGCTCACTGCAAGCTCCGCCTCCCGGGTTTACGCCATTCTCCTGCCTCAGCCTCCCGAGTAGCTGGGACTACAGGCGCCCGCCACCTCGCCCGGCTATTTTTTTGTATTTTTTAGTAGAGACGGGGTTTCACCGTGTTAGCCGGGATCGTCTCTCGATCTCCTGACCTCGTGATCCGCCCGTCTCGGCCTCCCAAAGTGCTGGGATTACAGGCTTGAGCCACCGCGCCCGGCCGACTTCTTTCTTAAAATATGATTTTACTTTGTCAAAAATTATACTAAGGTGGAAGAATATTTGTTCTTTCTCATTCATTTTCTGAAAAAAGAAAAAACTGAATTAGCTTATGTCAATAAAAACAGACTAGAAATTGGAGAAATGGAGAATAATTTTTTATTCCACATAATAAGTAATTTCTGAATTGCAAGTATTTCTAAATACTTGAAGACATCCCTCACATCCCCTCTTCTGATTGCTGAGTGTATTATTTCCTAAAGCTTTTTTTTTTTTTCTTTTCTCTCTCTTTTTTTTTTTTTTTTTTTTTTGAGACTTTGTCTCGCTCTGTTGCCCAGGCTGGAGTACAGTGGCAGAGTCTAGGCTCACTGCAACCTCTGCCTCCTGTGTTCAAGCGATTCTCCTGCCTCAGCCTCCCAAGTAGCTGGGATTACAGGTGCCCACCACCATGCCCGGCTAATTTTTAGTAGAGACAGGGTTTCGCCATGTTGGCCAGACTGGTCTTGAACTCCTGACTTCAAGTGTTCCACCCACCTTGGCCTCCCAAAATGCTGGGATTACAGGCAGGAGCCACCGTGCCCAGCCCCTAAAACTATTCTTTATGATATTTCTGAGACTATTCAGTGGTCTTCTAAAATGCAGCTAGCAGAATGGAAAATGTATCCTCTAAATGACTGGCCAACCTTAGCATATGGACAGTGTCACCTCTCACAGCCACTAAAAACTAAACACTAAAACCAGTTTTCTTGGGTAAAGGTTTCTAAGACGGAAAATTTAGGCAGCAAGATGTGTCAAATTGTAGACGTTGACCAGGAAAAAGCCAGGAGCAGCCAGGCAGGGGAGAGTGTGCATCCACCATCCTCCTGTGTGATGAAGGAATGACACCTCCTCCCTCTGGGCTGTCAGCTTTTACTGCTCCAGAATACAGATCTCCTGATTCAGTGTCCAGTGCCTTTTGAACTGACCACAAGCCCTCATGGACGACTGGAACTGTAATGTGGAAAGGGCTATGCTGGAGCCAGTTAAAATGCTTCATTACTTGCAAAATACCACATACAGTAATACGATATAGATGTCTTCCCTTCTCCACTAAGTAGATAAATAAGACTTTACAGAGGAAGTGTGCCTTTTTCATGTGGCATCTGAGTCCATGAGTGTCCTGTTTGGAAACAGGCTTCATCCTGGTTTTCTGGAGTGCCGAGTCGGGGCGGAAAGGAGGACCGGGGGCTCCGTCCTTCCTCGCCCCTTGGGCTGCCCTTCAGGGTTAAGTGGAGAGTCCCAGCTAAGCTCCCTGGATGCACAGGAGCACCTGGGTACCTAAGAAGGGGAACAGTTTGCAAGGGGAAGTTTAAATTACTGTCCCCCATAGCATCTGTTCCTTCAGGACACTAACCCTCTGCATCTGTGTCTTCTGTGTCACCAGTGGCCAGCAGTGTTGCAAACAGGAACCCGAGGTTTTCACTTCACTGTTGATGGGAACAAGAGGGCATCTGCTAAAGTTTCAGATTCCGTAAGTTCATGCTTTTTGTTCCATTATAAATGATTTTTTTTGGCTTGGGGGTAAGGATCTGTACCAGTTTCTTTTCATATGAGTCATAGACATAAGAGAAAAATTTCTCAGGTGTCCAACACATGCTGAAATTATTTTCAGTGTTATAATAATCAATTGCAAGTACAAACACAAACATAGATGTTAACATTTTTACTTATATCTCTTATGTATCTATAAACTAGATCTAAATTTGGATCAAGTAAAGCAATAAATTAAAATGAACAGTATCTGCTGTGACAGATGATAAAATTCCTACTGAAATTAGGACTGTGGGGCCACTCAGGTGTGGGTTCCTTGGTATTTGGTGTGCCTGTTCTCTCTGTTGGAAAACTGAAACTTGCTGAGAAGTTCTTTTCTCTAAGCTCACAATAGCGACTGAATACTTCTTGGCACCTTCTCAGGCATAAGCATAGGCACGGCCCTGAAGTAGAGTTGTGGTCCTCAGTCTGATCCCATGGGACAGACCCTCTACCATTCATAGAATCTGATCGTCAGTCCCTTCTCCACGTGCGAATGTGCCCACCTCTCCCCGCACTGTTCAGGGCTCAGCCCCAGGACAGGATGGAGGCCCTGTGTGCCTAGCAGTTGGTCCTTTTGTCTTTGTCAAGCTCCTTCACTGTAACAAGAGTCTTCGTGGTTGGCATAGTGGAGCACGTGATTGACAGGTGCGTTTTTCTTTTCCAGATTTCTGCTCAGTATCCAGTAGTGGATCATGAATTTGATGCGGTGGTGGTAGGCGCTGGAGGGGCAGGCTTGCGAGCTGCATTTGGCCTTTCTGAGGCAGGGTTTAATACAGCATGTGTTACAAAGCTGTTTCCTACCAGGTCACACACTGTTGCGGCACAGGTAAGAGAAAGGTGCCCCACCGTGCTCCCACTCTGTGCAGGTCCCGCACAGCCTTGCGCTTTCTACCTGGGCAGCCTCCTGCCTCCTCCCCATGCTCCAGCCACATGGCCTCTTGCTGTGCCTTGCTCACTCAGCTCACCCTCTCAGCGGTCTTTCCCTGGAGCCTCTTCCCTGGAGACTTGGAAGGGCTGGAGCCTTGTTGTCACTCCTAGTTGGGACTCCAGTCACACTCGGGTTTTCTTTGACCATCTCGCCTACTTCCCTCCCCACCCACCCCCACCGCCCCAACATCTTAAGAAAAGGAGATCATCTAAAGAGGAGGAATCAGAATTTAGGGTGGGGAAGGAAAGGGCAAGGCTTTTATTTGTCCCTGTGCTGCTGTCCTCTGGGACTCTCTGAGGAGTAAGAAGGTGGTGGGCACACACAGCCAAAGGAAGCAGGGGTACAGGGGAGTGCGACTCTGAGTGTGGAGCTTATTACCTGGCAGGAAGCACTTCTGGTCTTTAAATCACGCCCGTAAGTGCCATTGGGAAGATTTGTTGTTAACATTATCTGGAAAGATTTGTTGAGTACCTTTTCTGTGCCAGATATGTTAGGTAATAAGCATATTACAGGTAGCCTGTCACTCACGGCTCCAGTCAGCCCTTCCTGGAGTTCCCTCTGTCTCCACCACACAGATGAGGAGACTGAGGCTAAGGGATTGAATCACCGGGCGAGTCGGGGGAGGGTCGTGACCCGGAATCTGTCGGGCCTCGCTGCTCCTCTGCTGAGGTCAGCCCTCACTGGGAGTCACCGTGTGAGGAGTTGGCTTTCTCTGAATCCCCCAGTGGGTGGATTTGGGCCTGGAAGACAAAGCTGGGGCTCCTGTTTGTGGCTTGTAAGGAGTGGTTGGTGTTTCCAGGGAGGAATCAATGCTGCTCTGGGGAACATGGAGGAGGACAACTGGAGGTGGCATTTCTACGACACCGTGAAGGGCTCCGACTGGCTGGGGGACCAGGATGCCATCCACTACATGACAGAGCAGGCTCCCGCCGCCGTGGTCGAGGTGATGGGTGGGAGGCTCTGGGCGCCCTCGTGGTCTGTTTCTAGTCAAAAAGAGTCCTGGAAAGCATGTAAGCAATTGAGCCAGATGTGGCCGGCCGAAAGAATGGTGATGAGCAAAGCTCACAAGAGGAGTCTTTTTCCGTCACGAACTGTGCATTACACGTAACAAGAAGACTTCTCTTTGATGAAGTGTTGACATTTTCATAAAATAGGTTACTTTGGGTTTGCAGATTTGTGTTAAAGTTGTTCAGTGTAGATGAGCTATGAATATCTTGACTCCTTTAAGGTAATAAGGTTTTTGTTTGTTTTTATCTTTCACAGCTGGAAAATTACGGCATGCCGTTTAGCAGAACTGAAGATGGGAAGATTTATCAGCGTGCATTTGGTGGACAGAGCCTCAAGTTTGGAAAGGGCGGGCAGGCCCATCGGTGCTGCTGTGTGGCTGATCGGACCGGCCACTCACTATTGCACACCTTATATGGAAGGGTAAGGCTGCCCCTGGTCCAGCTGAGACAGGACATGTAGTGCTGGGGGTTATGGTGACAGCGGGGAATGGGTTAGCGTGCCCAGTGAGTCCGCCAGAGATTATGTAAAAAGCAACAGAGAACAACGGTGTAGGACACATGCAGCGACTGTTGATGTGAAAGGACCAGGCATGTGCTGTGAGAAGCTGTCCCTAAGGCAATATGTTATTTCTTGTATCTATTTTGGAAAGTTGAATTGATAATCTTATATACCAGATTTTTAACTTGGGGTATGTGACACTCAACATGTCAGAACCGAGCAAGCAGGCCAGGCACAGAGGAGGCCAAGGAGGAGGATCACTTGAGACCAGAAGTTTGAGACCAGCCTGGACAACATAGCGAGACCCTGTCTCTACAAAAAGTTTAAAAATTAGCTGGGCATGGTGGTACATGCTTGTAATCCCAGTTAGGAGGCTGAGGTGGGAGGATCACTTGAGACCAGGAGGTTGAGGCTACAATGAGCCATGTTCATACCACTGCACTCCAGCCTGGGCAACAGGAGACCCTGTCTCAAAAAAAAAGAATAGGCTGGGCACGGTGGCTCACGCCGTAATCCCAGCACTTTGGGAGGCCGAGGCAGGCAGATCACAAGGTCAGGAGTTTGAGACCATCTTGCCTAACACTGAAACCCCGTCTGTACTAAAAATAGAAAAAAATTAGCCGGGCGTGGTGGCGGGTGCCTATAGTCCCAGCTACTTGGGAGGCTTAGGCAGGAGAATGGCTGAGGCAGGAGAATGGCGTGAACCTGGGAGTCGGAGCTTGCAGTGAGCTGAGATCACGCCACTGCACTCCAGCCTAGACGACAGAGTGAGACTACGTCTCAAAAAAAAAGAAAAAGAAAAAAAGCATTTTAAGGCTCTTTTACCACCTCTGAGTTCCTGAATGGATTGGTTTTGTTTGTTTGTTTTGTTTTGTTTTGCTTTGCTTTGTTTTTGAGACGGACTGTCACTCTGTCACCAGGCTGGAGTGCAGTGGTGCAATCTCTGCTCACTGCAACCTCCACCTCCCGGGTTCAAGTGATTCTCCTGCCTCAGCCTTCTGAGTAGCTGGGGCTATAAGTGCACGCCACCATGCCTGGCTAATTTTTTGTATTTTAGTAGAGACAGGGTTTCCCATGTTGCCCAGGCTGGTCCCGAACTCCTGAGCTCGGGCAGTCTACCCGCCTCGGCCTCCCAAAGTGCGAGGATTAGAGGTGTGAGCCACCACACCCAGCCATGGATTGTTTTAATTTTAATTGTTATCACTGGACAAAGACTTGAGGTGACAATAGTTACTGGGTAATCAAGGTCAACTTTGGCATGGCCAAATAATATTCTGAACAGTATTGATTCAGAGTATTCAGTATTCTGAACTTTGTTGTTTTCTGATGAATAGGGACAGACCATTAATTTGCAAGTTGTTAGAACACCAGTGCCTTCTCTGTGGCTGAGTGCATGGACGAGTGTGTGGTGGGAGGAGAAAGCAGCTCCGTCCGGAGCAGGAGCTGTCATGTGGGGAGCTGGCCCAGGCTTACGAGGGCAACTTGCACTGGCTGAGGGAACAGCAGGTCCAGGCGGGCAGCGCTGTCCAGTGCCTACCTTTCTGCAGTGCTGGAATCTGCTTGTCTGCAACCGTCCGCGTTGGGAGCTGCCAGCCACATGTGGCTGTTGCTAATGTGGCAGGTGTAGCTGAAGAGCTGAACATTTGATTTATTTTAATTAATTTAGTGGTTGTGTGTTGCCAGCAGCTCCCACCTGGGCTGTGACCCCATGGTCTGTGGACCTCACTCTGGCACCAAACTCTGAGCGGAGCTGCCTGTGGCCACCAGACAGTGTGGAGTGCCTCTTCGGGTTGTGTAGAAATAGGAAATGTGTCACCAAAGTAGGAGCTGTGGCTGCTGCGTTCTCTAGCGCACCTGCCTTGTCTGTGCTGCGCGGTGTGGAACGCCTCTCGTTCGCTGACAGCGTCCTTGACTCTGTTGCTGATCTCCTTGGATTTACCTGGTCCATTTGGATCAGGTTCTTTCACCTATTCACACGAGCAAATACCACCTTAAAACCTTAAAGTTTGGCTTAACACTTCCTGCCCTTTTTTTTTCTTTCTTTTAGTCTCTGCGATACGATACCAGCTATTTTGTGGAGTATTTTGCCTTGGATCTCCTGATGGAGGACGGGGAGTGCCGTGGTGTCATCGCACTGTGCATAGAGGACGGGTCCATCCATCGCATACGAGCAAAGAACACTGTTGTTGCCACAGGGTAGGACTCTAATTTCTACTTTATTTCATTTATAAAAATGAATAACTTTCATTTAGAGTTTCTTTATTTTAATGAAAATAGAGGCATTGTAGAATAACGGTTCAGACACAGGCCTTGATATAACCTTGTGAGAGTGATGGCCTCTCCCAGCCGTGGTTCCTCACCTGTGAAGGGTAAGGACGGGAGCACCTGCCTCAGGCGGCGAGAAAGCATGGCCCTCAGTAGACGGCGGTGGCTGCCGTCAGGTTCACAGCTTACCTCTCCCAATTTTAGATGAGGAAACTGCAGCCCGAAGAGTCCCATGGGGGTTTCTGGCACAATCCCTCTTGTTTTAGTGGGTACTGTGTTAATACTGATTCCTGGGATGGGTAAGTCCTTCTTCTCCACATAACGAAAATAAGTAACTTTAATTTTATACACTGTCAGTTACTTTAACCATTTTCAAAGTAAAAACTGTCAGTACAGCGAAGGAAAAAATCAGCAAAACTACAGGTTGGGAAAAAATATTTTCCAAACCTTATATCTAATAATATCTTAGTATCTAAAATAGAAAAAAAAAACCCTACTAAAAACAACCTACTAAACCCAACTAAAAACAACCCTACTAAAAATGGGCAAAGGACTTGAATAGATATTTTTCCAGAGAAGACAAACAAATGGCCAATTGATGTATGAAAAAATGCTCAACATCACTAAGCACCAGAGAAATGCAAATTAAAACCCCAATGAGACATCATCTCATCTCACTCCAGGTAGAATGGCTGTTACCAAGAGGACAAAAGAGAGCAAGTGTTGGTGAGGATGTGGAGAAAAGGGAACCCTGTGTGCTGTTGGGGGGAATGTAAATTAGTACAACTATTGTGGAAAACTCTGGAGGTTCCTCAAAATTCACAGGACTACCATGTGCTCCAGCAACCCCATTTCTGGGTGTATATCCAAAGGGCATGAAATCAGAAGCTCAAAGAGACACCTGGACCCCCATGTTCATTGCAGCGTTGTTCACAGTTCCCGAGATATGGAAAAAACCTAAGTATGTGTTGGTGTTTAAGGAAAATGTGGTGTGTATACGCAACTGAATATTACTCAGCTATGAAAATGAAGGGAATCCTGTCATTTGTGACAACAGGGATGAACCCAAAGTCATTATGTTAAGTGAAACAAGCCAGGCACAGAATGACAGATACTGCCTGTCACTTATATGTGGAATCTAAAAAAGTCAAAACTCATGGAAACAGAGTAGGACGGTGGTTGCCAGGGGCTGGGGGAATGCAGACTGCAGCGATGCTGATGAAAGGTGTGACTTCTCGTTACCAGGTGAGGTTCAGAAGGTCTAATATACAACATGGTGGCTATAGTGAATATTATACAGCACGGTGGCTACAGTTAACATTATACAGCACGGTGGCTATAGTGAATATTATACAGCATGGTGGCTATAGTGAATATTATACAGCACGGTGGCTATAGTGAATATTATACAGTACGGTGGCTATAGTGAATATTATACAGTACGGTGGCTAGAGTTAACATTATACAGCATGGTGGCTATAGTGAATATTATACAGCATGGTGGCTAGTGAATATTATACAGTACGGTGGCTATAGTGAATATACAGCACAGTGGCTAGAGTTAACATTATACAGCACGGTGGCTATAGTGAATATTATACAGTACGGTGGCTATAGTGAATATTATACAGCACGGTGGCTATAGTGAACATTATACAGCACGGTGGCTACAGTGAATATTATACAGCACGGTGGCTACAGTTAACATTATACAGCACGGTGGCTATAGTGAATATTATACAGCACGGTGGCTATAGTGAATATTATACAGCACGGTGGCTATAGTGAATATTATACAGCACGGTGGCTATAGTGAATATTATACAGCACGGTGGCTATAGTGAATATTATACAGCACGGTGGCTATAGTGAGTATTATACAGCACGGTGGCTATAGTGAGTATTATACAGCACGGTGGCTACAGTTAACATTATACAGCACGGTGGCTATAGTGAATATTATACAGCACGGTGGCTATAGTGAGTATTATACAGCACGGTGGCTATAGTGAGTATTATACAGCACGGTGGCTATAGTGAATATTATACAGCACGGTGGCTATAGTGAATATTATACAGCACGGTGGCTATAGTGAGTATTATACAGCACGGTGGCTATAGTGAATATTATACAGCACGGTGGCTATGTGAATATTATACAGCACGGTGGCTATAGTGAGTATTATACAGCACGGTGGCTATAGTGAATATTATACAGCACGGTGGCTAGAGTTAACATTATACAGCATGGTGGCTATAGTGAATATTTATACAGCACAGTGAGTATCATTAATATTATAACTTGAAATTTACAAACAGAGTAGACCTTAGGCGTCTGTATCTCCAAAAAAAAGGATAATTATATGAGGTGATATGAAGGGGGTGGCCTGCCCCTCCACACCTGTGGGCGTTTCTCGTTAGGTGGAACGAGAGACTTGAGAAAAGAAATGAGACACAGAGTCAAAGTATAGAGAAAGAAAAAGTGGGCCCAGGGGACCGGCGCTCAGCTTACAGAGGACCCATGTCGGCACTGGTCTCTGAGTTCCCTTTGTATTTATTGATAATTATTTTTACCATCTTAAAGATAAGGGAGTGGCAGGACAATAGGATCATCGAAGGGAGAAAATTAGCAGTGAGACATATGGATAAAGATCTCTGTGACATTGTAAGTTCAAAGGAAAATGCTGTGCCTTGATATGCATATGCAGACATCTCCACAAACCTTTTAGCAGCATTGTGCCAGCAAGTCTCCACAGCAAGTCCCACCTTATGCCGTAAGGTGGTTTTCTCCTGGCTCAGTAAACAGAGCATACAATCGGGTCTTACACAGAGATGTTCCATTGCCCAGGGACCGGCAGGACTTTTAACCAGCAAGCTGCCTTCAGGCACTTGTTTAACAAGGCACATCCTGCACAGCCCAAAATCCATTAAACCTTGAGTCACCACAGCACATGTCTCTTGCAAGGACAAGGTTGGGGGTAGGGTCACAGATTAACAGCATCTCAAATACAGAACCAAATGGAGTCTCTTATGTCTACTTCTTTCTATATAGACACAGTAACAGGCTGATCTCTCTTTCTTTTCCCCACAGTGATAGATGTATATTAATTTGATTGTGTCATCAGTTCACAAAATATATCAAATCATCACATTGTACACCTTAAATATATACGGTTTTTTTTTTTTTTTTAATTCATCAATCATACTTCAGTAAATTGGGGGGAAAAAAACAAAATCCATAAAAATTTTAAAATTTTCATTATAAAAGTAGTATATGCTTATTGGGGAAATCTTTTGAACAGCACAAAGCTAAAATACAAACAGGGCCAGACGTGCAGTGGCTCATGCCTGTAATCCCAGCACTTTGGGAGGCCGAAGTGGGAGGATCACTTGAGGTCAGGAGTTCGAGACCAGCTGGGCCAACATGGCGAAACCCCATCCCTACTAAAAATACAAAAATTAAATGGACGTGGTGGTGCACACCTGTAATCCCAGCTACCCGGGAGGCTGAGGCGGAAAAGTCACTTGAACCTGGGAGCTGGAGGTTGCTGTGAGCCGAGATCGTGCCACTGTACTCCAGCCGGGGTGACAGAATTAGACTCTATCTCAGAATAAATAAATAAAATACAAATGGAAGTCCCTTCTCTGATCCCAGGCTTCTATCCTACATGCATAGGGTAGCAGCTCCACTGGTGTGGCCCCCAGTGATGTGTGTGGGGTGTGCGTGAGTAGGGGGTTGTGTGCACTGAGAAGACGGTGCCCGGGGGCTGCTGTGTCCATTCTGTGATCTCACCAGACAGGAGGTCCGGACGTGGGCCGCTGTGTGCAGTCACTGCTGTCTGTTGTTTCCAGAGGCTACGGGCGCACCTACTTCAGCTGCACGTCTGCCCACACCAGCACCGGCGACGGCACGGCCATGATCACCAGGGCAGGCCTTCCTTGCCAGGACCTAGAGTTCGTTCAGTTCCACCCCACAGGTAGGGCAGGACACCTTGCCCGGCAGGTGTTCAGCTCATGTGTGTCTTGTAAGCGTGTGGTGCCTACTCATTGCTCCTCCATGGTTTTATGTAATAACATGGTGTTGAAGATCAGCTTCCTCAGCTCTCAGGTCCTCACTTCAATGTCGTTTCCTTAAGGAGACTTTTCCCACACTCTCCTTCCCCTAAGGCAGTTTGGGCCAGCGTTTTATGCATTTCTGAAGAGCCCTAAACCCTGCCTTGATCATACTTGTGCCAGCAGTAAAGCAGGGATTGAGGCCAGGCGCGGTGGCTCATGCCTGGAATCCCAGCACTTTGGGAGGCCAAGGCAGGCAGATCACCTGAGGTCAGGAGTTCAAGACCAGCCCGACCAACATGGTGAAACCTCATGTCTACTGAAAATACAAAAATCAGCATGGCGTGGTGGCATGTACCTATAATCCCAGCTACTTGGGAGGCTGAGGCGGGAGGAATGTTTCAACCTGGGAGGCAGAGGTTGCAGTGAGCCGAGGTCGCACCCCTGCACTCCAGCCTGGGCAACAGAGTAGACTCCGTCTCAAAAAAAAAAAAGTAAAGCAGGGATTGTTCAGTGTCCCTCTTCGCAACGAGGTCGTCAGCTCCTCGGGCAGGCAGGTCTTCTCATTAGCTGGGGTGGCCCATGCCCAGCACGTGGCAGGGTCTCCGTCAGGGTTTGCTGAGTGAGCGTTCTGAGAGCTGGGAGAATGCCGTGGAACCCAGAAGCAGCACGGGCAGATTTCGGCTTTGTAGGGAACACGGAGCTTCCGCGATAATGGGGTGTAAAGTTAGGGCACGGCCGTGACAGAACCCCGTGTGACGTTCGGACGTTGGGGCTCCGCCCACACGACCACTGAGGGAGCTTGTTGTGGGGAAGATGCGCTCATCTCGGGGACGTCTGACGGTTGAGCTTACGAATGTGCAGTTTGGAGACATTCACACAGAAATGACAGTTGAAGTCTTGAGTTTGGGGGAGATTCTTCAGAATGAGTCAGAGAGAGACACACACACATCTGCCTCTTGTTTGACTCGTCCTGGACTTCTCTGGGTTGCTTTTCTGACCTGTGGACGATGGAGACCCCTGAAGTGGTGCTAAAGAACCAGACCTGTGCCTTCTCTTTCTCTGTCAGTGTCAGCTTTCTGGTCCCTGGAAGGGATGAAAATAAGAAATGAATTTGTTGTAGGTTTTTTTTTTTTTAATTTGTTTAGAGACGGGGTCTTGCTCTATTGCCCAGGCTGGAGTGCAGTGGAGCAGTCTTGGCTCACTGCAGCCTTTGTCTCCCAGGCTCAAAGGATTCTTCCACCTCAGCCTCCCAAACGGCTGGGACTACAGGCATGTGTTACCACGCCCGGCTAATTTTTGAGGGTTGTTTTGTTTTTGGTAGAGATGGGGTGTCACCGTTTTGCCCAGGCTGGTCTCAAACTCCAGGGCTTAGGCGATCCTCCTGCCTCGGCCCCTCAGAGTGCTGGGATTATAGCCATGAGCCACTGCACCTGGTCTGTTGTATTTTTTTATTACTTTTTTTAATCAATAGAATGTCACTGAGTCCCTGAATTCCCTCTGTAATTTGCTTAGAGCTCCACTTCTCATGCTTTGTCTTCAATATGTGAGAAGTAATCCACAGAAAAAAAGAGCATTGAAACTTAGAAAATCAAAAGACAGGCAAGATGCAAGAATCACATTCTCGTTTTAAAAGCAAGATTGCCCTTTTTGTATACTAATAAAAATTGTAGCTTTTGAAATACGTTTACTTTCGGGTTTTTGATCTCCTTTGTTAAAATTAGAGAGCTAGGCATGCCCTGTTTCTCATCGCCTTGAGGAGTCACAGAGCCGCTGTTTGGAGCACAGACCGCCAGACTGCCCAGGTTTGGGTTTGAGCTGTGTCCTCAACTGCATGACTGGATGTTACCAAGCGGTAATTTGCTGTCACTGAGAAAGCGGGTAGTACTACCCAGAGTTGTTGTAAGACTTAAATGAGTTATGTGGAAAGCAGCTAGAACTGCCCCTAGCAAGTGCAGTGTGAATATTAAGTAAAATAATCATTATTACTGTCCTTGCCACTGTTTGGGTAATTTAGATATGAATTCTCCAAGCTCGTATTCTTAACTAGTTACCACAGTATCATAGTGCAAAAGAATGTTCAAAAATTAAAACAAAATTTGAGGCATCCAGCGTACACTGGGCTGTAATCAGAGTATCGGCCAGAGGTCTGTGGGCTGGCCTTTCTCCTCGCTGGGGACACTGCTCTGCCCCAACCTCTGCTGCAGCTGTCAGCCTCGTCAGTGCTTTTTGTTATCCAGACTTTCTACTGTATCTTAACTGTTCTTTCTATTCAGTTTTGCATATAATGCCTTCTGCATATCTTTTTCCTCTCTCCCCCAAAAAAATCTTGAAAAAAAATAATGCATTTGAAATAGAGACCTAGCAATTGTTAGGTTATAAATGTTTGTGGTTTTTTGCAGGCATATATGGTGCCGGTTGTCTCATTACGGAAGGATGTCGTGGAGAGGGAGGCATTCTCATTAACAGTCAAGGCGAAAGGTTTATGGAGCGATACGCCCCGGTGGCGAAGGACCTGGCGTCTAGAGATGTGGTGTCTCGGTCGATGACTCTGGAGATCCGCGAAGGAAGGTCCGTGTGATTTACCACCAGCATTGTCTGAGTGGGCACACGGGCCGGGGTTGCTTCTGTGAGTTCCAGCACCGCTCGCCCTCACCTTCGTGTGCAGGCACACGTGCACAGCCACCTCTCTCAGCTGCTGACAGGCGTCTGTTAGTCTGTGGTATTTTCTTAAAGACCTACATTTTAAAAATTTTAGCCAGTTTCTTTCTCAGATCTGTGGAACAGAATTTCTCTTAGTGTGGGTGAGTATGTGACAGAGTACAGGAATGAGAGACGCACACGCAACCTGAAGTTGGCACGTGAGCCTCGGGTGTTGTGTCTGATGCCCACAGGTGTTTTTCGGTAGCTTTCAAAGGGTGTGGATTATCTGGCTTTCAGTTAAACAAGTTGCAGCTCTTTCATTTCTGACCCTGTTCTTTAATGTAATATCTGCTGGTATGGCCCTTAGAGGTTTTACATTTTTATATTTAAAAAAACAGAGAAGTCAGGCCGGGCGCGGTGGCTCACACCTGTAATCCCAGCACTTTGGGAGGCCGAGGCGGGCGGATCATGAGATCAGGAGATGGAGATCATCTTGGCTAACATGGTGAAACCCCGTCTCTACGAAAAATACAAAAAATTAGCCAGGCGTGATGCCAGGCGCCTGTAGTCTCAGCTACTAGGGAGACTGAGGCAGGAGAATGGCATGAACCCGGGAGGCAGAGCTTGCAGTGAGCCGAGATGGCGCCACTGCACTCCAGCCTTGGCAACAGAGCGAGACTCTCTCAAGGAAAAAAAAACAAACAAAAACAGAGAAGTCAAATGTTTTTCTGGAATATGGTGGCCGTCTGTACCCGTTGGTTCCACATGTGTGGTTTCAACCAGCTATGTATTGAAAGTAAAATTGCAACCTTACAAATATGCAGACTTTTTTTCCTCGTCATTGTTCCCTAAACAACACAGTTCAACAACTATTTACGTAGTATTTACATTGTATTAGGTACTGTGAGTAATCCTGGAGTTGTTGTAAAGCTTAAATGTAAAACTTTAAATGAGGATGATGTAAAGTATAGAGGAGGATGTGCATAGGTTATATACAAATACTCTTCCATTTTATATTAGGGACTTGAGCATCCACGGATTTTAGTATCCATGGGGGTCCTGGACCCAACCTGCCACAGATACGCAGGGACGATTGTGTTTGGCATAGAGCCCTTTCTAATGCACTTACCAAGGACAGCCGCAGCAGGCTGTGATCCCTGAGACGAGTGTGAGTTCAGGGAGGGCAGAGTTTTTGTTCTGGGTCTCAGCTGTGTCCCAGCACCTAGGATTGTCCCTGGCACACAGTAGATGCTTAGAAAAGATTTGATGAGAGGGTGAGCATAAATGAGGGGAAATTTTCCTCAGTATCAAAACATATTGAAACTCACATGCTTCCAAGATGACGTATTCTCAGGTCTCCTGCCGTTGCCATTCTCTGCCTTATGTGACGGTGTTTGTTCTGTTTTCCCAGAGGCCGTTCTCTGCCTTATGTGACGGTGTTTGTTCTGTCTTCCCAGAGGCCGTTCTCTGCCTTATGTGACGGTGTTTGTTCTGTCTTCCCAGAGGCCGTTCTCTGCCTTATGTGATGGTGTTTGTTCGTCTTCCCAGAGGCCTTCTCTGCCTTATGTGAGGTGTTTGTTCGTCTTCCCAGAGGCCGTTCTCTGCCTTATGTGATGGTGTTTGTTCGTCTTCCCAGAGGCCGTTCTCTGCCTTATGTGATGGTGTTTGTTCTGTCTTCCCAGAGGCCGTTCTCTGCCTTGTGTGATGGTGTTTGTTCTGTCTTCCCAGAGGCCGTTCTCTGCCTTATGTGATGGTGTTTGTTCCTGGCTTCTCGCCAGTGAGGGTTGTTCTCTAGACTGTTCCTGCCTTGTGTGATGGTGTTTGTTCTGTCTTCCCAGAGGCTGTGGCCCTGAGAAAGATCACGTCTACCTGCAGCTGCACCACCTGCCTCCGGAGCAGCTGGCCACGCGCCTGCCCGGCATTTCAGAGACAGCCATGATCTTCGCTGGTGTGGACGTCACGAAGGAGCCGATCCCTGTCCTCCCCACCGTGCATTATAACATGGGCGGCATTCCCACCAACTACAAGGGGCAGGTGATGGTGCTGACTGCCCTCCCACAGCTGGAAAGAAGGCTGGGACAACGGGGCCCACCTTGCAGTTGTCTCTTTAGATCGTAGAGGAAAAGACAGATGTTTTCTTCAAGAAAGTTCTGTCTTGTTTTCTAGATTGTACTTTAAATTTCTATTACTGGAGGATGGAGGGGGCTTAATAATTTATTCCTCCTTAGTAAATTGTCATAGATGCATCATTTGCAGCCTTTTTTCCATTTTATAGTTACTTTCCTATATGATCTCGTGTTATTTCTAATGATCTTGTACATCGAGGGATCTTTCTAATTCCTACCTTTGAGTGGTTTGCGGTGCACACAGAGCTTGTCAGTCACTTAGGCTCCTTGTTGGGCAAGGTGGGCGGCAGCTGTTACTTTCCCTGCATAGATGAAGAGGTGAACAGGGGGTAGAAGAGTCTGGAACATCAGTGTCACCTGCTGATGTTCCTCCACCTGCCGTGCTCCCGGGTCTGAGCCAGAGTGCAGGTGGTGAGGGCCTCGGGAACATGGGACACAGGGACAGTCGCAGACGCTGACATTAGGGGTCCTCTGACCTGCTTGTAACAGCAGGTGCTCAGGGCAGAGGGAAATGGGGGGACATTCGGAAGCTTCCCTCTGAAGAAGAGGAGCTATGGTCCTTACCTCCCTCTTAGATGTGGTCTTTCCTTCCCTTTTTGTCTTGGAGATTCAGTCTCGCTCTGTCGCTTAGGCTGGAGTACAATGGCGCAATCTCGGCTTACTGCAACCTCCGCCTCCCAGGTTCAAGCGATTCTTCTGCCTCAGCCTCCCGAGTAGCTGGGATTATAGGCACTCGCCGTCATGCCTCACTAATTTTTGTATTTTTAGTTGAGACGGGGTTTCACCATGTTAGCCAGGCAGGTCTCGAACCCCTGACCTCAGGTGATCCACCCGCCTCAACCTCCCAAAGTGCTGGGATTACAGGCGTGAGCCACCGCGCCTGGCCTACTTCCCTCTCTTTCTCTGGTCTGCAGCACAGACACCCTGCTGGGGGAGGTAGGCTGGTGGAGGTATGGGCACCTTGACATTTCACCTGAAATCTTCCTTTCCACAGGTCCTGAGGCACGTGAATGGCCAGGATCAGATTGTGCCCGGGCTGTACGCCTGTGGGGAGGCCGCCTGTGCCTCGGTACATGGTGCCAACCGGCTCGGGGCAAACTCCCTCTTGGACCTGGTCGTCTTTGGTCGGGCATGTGCCCTGAGCATCGAAGAGTCGTGCAGGCCTGGTAAGTGTTTTCTTCAGGAGCCAGACTGTTCGAGAAGGCGCGGGAGGTTACAGTTGTTTTTCTTTCTTTTGAGACAGGTCAGCCCAGGCTGGAGTGCCGTGGCACAGTCATAGCTGCCTCAACCTCCCGGGCTCGAGCAGTCCTCAACACCTCCACCTGCAGAGTCCCAAGTAGCTGGGACTACAGATGTGCACCACCACACCTGGCTAATTTAAAAAAAAATTTTTTTTTGTAGAAACAGGGTCTCACAATATTGCCCAGGCTGGTCTTGAACTCCTAGACCCAAGCAGTCCTTCTGCCTCAGCTTCCCAAAGTACTGGGATTACAGACATGAGCCACGGCACCCAGCCAGGTTACAAAGCCTCGATTTGTTACTGGAAATTTGCTTAGTGGTCATATAGAGGTAGTCTGGGTTTTTTCCCCTAGAAGTGATTAAACTGAGAAATCCGGAGGTTATATGGTGGTAATGTTGAGACTAGATAGAGGCTGGTTGGGGATCTTAACAGTTAAGGTGACATTTTTGGGGTTACATTTTTTTTTTTAAATTATTTTGTAGTCATTATGTTCTGCTTAGAAAAAGCACAATTAGGGGCCGGGTGCGGTGGCTCAAGCCTGTAATCCCAGCACTTTGGGAGGCTGAGACGGGCGGATCACGAGGTGGAGAGATTGAGACCATCCTGGTTAACACGGTGAAACCCCGTCTCTACTAAAAAAAATACAAAAAACTAGCCGGGCGAGGTGGCGGGCACCTGTAGTCCCAGCTACTCTGGAGGCTGAGGCAGGAGAATGGTGTAAACCCGGGAGGCGGGGCTTGCAGTGAGCTGAGATCCGGCCACTGCGCTCCAGCCTGGGTGACGGAGCGAGACCCAGTCTCAAAAAAAAAGAAAAAAGAAAAAGCACTATTAGGAAGTTGTTATTTTTAGGGGAAGTTCATTACATATTACTTGCCTGATAAAAATCACTTATTTGCAATGAAATTTTTTAAATAGTTGGTGTGAATGAATATGTAACATGTACTTAGAAAAATAATTTAGGCCATTCTAAAAACAAAGTACAGCTAGCCTCTATTAGAGGAGAAGGGATGACTTACAGTGAACAGAATTCCCACTCTCTACGGACAGATTGGATTTCACTTGCTGGTTTTCTTTTCATGATAGCGTCAAATAATGTGTAGGAGAAGAAATACCATGTGTGGGAGTGTGAGTCTCATGTGCACTAAGAACGGGACAGTTAGCATCACTCTCACCTCCAGAGATCTTCACGGTGGTTATCCAGCCTCATGTGCTCAGAACAGTGTGAGGTGGATGAAGCACCGGTGGATGTTTGTGTGGCAAGGATGGTGGGACCCCAGGCCCACATTCTTCCCGTTACCTTTCTCTGGTGTTAACTGTTTGGCATCCTTTTCTGCTGTTTTAATAGAACAGGTGCTTTTTGTGTGGATTCAAGTGAAATAAAAACTAGGACTGCTGTAACTTATAAACATGCCCGCTTTTATATCTGTAGTTAGAAAGGTACGGAGAGTATTAAAAAGGTAGCTTACTTCAGACACTCTGTCTCTGGATCTGACCACAGCTCGGGAGGCCAGCACACGCAGAGCTGGCGTCTTACCCCAAGTCACTGCTGACCATGGGCGAAGGCGGAGTTCAGGTCCATCGCTCCTGACGCCACAGGTTGTGATTGTCTCACTCCATAGCCCTGCACTTTGTAGCAGTGAGGACTGATACCACTTCTCTCAGAGCAATGTAGAAATTTTGAGCTTCTTTTTCTCTGAAAATGTAAAAAAAGAACATTTTGTAAGAATACCCAATACTTGGCCGGGCGCGGTGGCTCAAGCCTGTAATCCCAGCACTTTGGGAGGCCGAGACGGGCGGATCACGAGGTCAGGAGATCGAGACCATCCTGGCTAACACAGTGAAACCCCGTCTCTACTAAAATACAAAAAAAAAAATTAGCCGGGCGAGGTGGCGGGCGCCTGTACTCCCAGCTACTTGGGAGGCTGAGGCAGGAGAATGGCGTGAACCCGGGAGGCGGGGCTTGCAGTGAGCTGAGATCCGGCTACTGCACTCCAGCCTGGGTGACAGAGCAAGACTCGGTCTCAAAAAAAAAAAAAAAAAAAGAATACCCTATACTTTACATCTGAGAAACCGCTCATGCATGCAGCATCTCATGCAGAATGCTGTGGAGTCAGACTCAAAAGGCTGCACACCTGTGGCTCTCTTAATACAACATTCTGGAAAAGGCACATCTAGGGAAGAAAAGGGATTGGTGGTTGCCAGAGGCTGTTTCCTGATACGGACACAGCTCTCTGTGTACTAAAATTTGAAAAACTACACTAAAAATGGTGAGTTTATTTTACTGTATCTTTGTGCTTTAATTTTTTAAAATGAAAAGGAAAGAAAAAATGCTTGTAGCATCGCCACTTCCCCCCCACTCCCCCAAAAAAAGAATACATACATATATATATTTTTTAGAGATAGTCTCCCTCTGTCGCCCAGGCTGGAGTGCAGTGGTACGATTAGGTGCACGCCACCACACATGGCTAATTTTAAAAATATTTTGTAGGGACAGGGTCTCCCTTTGTTGCCCAAGATGGTCTTGAACTCCTGGCCTCAAGTGATCCTCCTGTCTCAGCCTCCCAAAGTGGTTATATGCATCTATACATGTGTTAAAGTTGGTAGAACTGAGGCTGGGCGCAGTGGCTCATGCCTATAATCCCACCACTTTGGGAGGCCGAGGCAGGCAGATTGCTTGAGCTCAGGAGTTCAAGACCAGCTTGGGCAAGGTGGTAAAGCCCCGTCTCTACAAAAAATACAAAAATTAGCTGGGCATGGTGGCTCACACCAGTGTAGCCCTAGCTACTTGGGAGGCTGAGGTGGGAGGATTGCTGGAGCCTGGAAGGCGGAGGTTGCAGTGAGCTGAGATCACACCACTGCATCCAGCCTGAGCAACAGAGGGAGGAGACACTGTCTCAAAGAAAAGAAAAAAGAAATTGTACAACGGTCCACTGAAAGAAAAAAGTCAATTTTACTGAATGATCAATTTTTAAAGCATTATAATCAAAAGGAAAAGAAACACCAGCAATCCTAGAAGCATTTGAGCAGGCCCTCAAGAGACCCACACCCTGGTCCCCTGGAGAGGCGGTGGGCGGGGCGGGGCCTGTTTGACTCCTGCATTTCATACCTCCTACCTTCTGCATGTATTACCTGTTGAAGAAAATATATATAATGTTATTAAAAAAACTTTAAAATTTTTTTGAAGACATCTTAGAAACACAAGAGTTGCAAATCTCGGCTGTGCACATTGCTCACACATGTGATCCCAGCACTTTGGGAGGCCAAGACAGGTGGCTCACCTGAGGTCAGGAGTTTGAGACCAGCCTGGCCAACATGGTGAAACCCCATCTCTACTGAAAATACAAAAATTAGCCAGGTATGGTGGCATACTCCTGTAGTCCCAGCTACTCTGGAGGCTGAGGCATAAGGATTGCTTGAACGAGGAGGTGGAGGTTACAGTGAGCCGAGATGGTGTCAGTGCACTCCAACTTGGGCTACAGAGCAAAATTCCATCTCAAAAAAAAAAAAAATTGCAAATCTTGAAGTGTAGGTGAGAGCACACAAGAGTCCAAATCAGCAGGTGACTTTCAAGCACACAGCAGCCACCTTCCTTCCCCTTATGCGAAGGACGGTGGGGTGGCCGGCCCCTCAGGACCACCATCTGGAAGGTGTTTGTTTTTTCCCTTAGTGGAGTGACGTTTATATACACTTAATGTATATAAATTTGTATACATTTAATTTTTTTTTTTAAAACAGGGTCTCGCTCTTGCCCAGACTGGAGTGCAGTGGCGCAATCTTGGCTCACTGCAACCTCTACCTTTCGGGTTCAAGCAGTTCTCATGCCTCAGCCTCCCGAGTAGCTGGGATTATAGGCGCACACCACCATACCCCGATAATTTTTGTGTTTTTAGTAGAAATGAGGTTTTGCCATGTTGGCCAGGCTGCACTTGAACTCCTGACCTCAAGTGATCCACCTATCTTGGCCTCCTAAAGTGCTAGGATTACAGGCGAGAGCCACCGCACCCGGCCTTCATTTAATTTTTTAATTTTAGAGATGATTTCTAGTTTATTCACTCTAAGATAAGTTAATGGATATCTACTGTGTGCCAACAATTTTGCCTTTATGTATGTTCTTTAAAATTGGCCCCAACTCAACAGATGGCCTCAGATGTAGGGTGGGCTGGCAGTGTGTTAGCTGAGAAGACTTTCACAGTTTCCAAGCTCCTTGAGCGGCTGTGCTATGTATTTTTGTATCATTCTAAATCCATTTGGTTTTTTAAAATAGTTTTGAAAAGTTAAATTCTAACTTTTTTTTTGTTTTAGGAGATAAAGTCCCTCCAATTAAACCAAATGCTGGAGAAGAATCTGTCATGAATCTTGACAAATTGAGATTTGCTGACGGAAGCATAAGAACGTCAGAACTTCGACTCAGCATGCAGAAGGTAAGAGCCTGGACTCGCTCTGGAGTGAGCAGGCTGGCTGCATACCTGGCCCTGCACTGGTTTTATTTTTTAAAAAATAGATTTAGGGGGATGCAGGTGCAGTTTGTGTGGATGTACCATGAGGTGGTGGAGTCTGGGCTTTTCACGTCACCCAAGTCGTGTATGTTGTACCCAGCAGGTAATTGCTCATCCCCACCCCTTCCGCTTTTTGGAGCCCCCAGTCTCTGTTAGTCCACTCTGTGTGGCCACGTGTACTCACCGTTCAGTTTCCACTTCCAAGTAAGAATGTGACACTTGACCTTGAGTCACTTCACTTAGGAGAGTGACCTGTTCCATCTGTGTGGCTGCAGAAGACATGATTGCGTTATTTTTTTATGGCTGAGTATTTCATGGTGTTTATGTACCACATTTTCTTTGTCCGGTCATCCGTTGATGGGCACTTAGGTTGATTCCATGACTTTGCTATTGTGACTAGTGCTGCGATAAACATACGAGGCTGCACCGGTATCGAGGTAAACAGCAGTAGGACGTACTCCTCACCGTATCAAGAATATGAAAGAGACCAGGAGGCCTGAACTATACAGAAGTGCACTTTTCCACATAGCAGGTCAGCAGGCTAGGGCAGAACTAGTGACTGCTTAGCATCCAGGACAGCCTTCTCCGGTTCACTCGTGTGTGCTTGGGCGTGACCTCCGTGCCCTGACCGTCGCAGGCTGTCATGGATGAGTCACAGCGTGGAGGAGAGGGAGCAGCAGGACCACTGGAGAAGCTCAGGCCCCAGCAGGGCAGCTTTCTCTTCGCAGGTTTCCTGGAGTTCAACATAATACTGGTGCTTACATCTCAGGCCCACATATTGATCATGTCATCATGCCTGACTTCCAGCAGCTTGGAAATGTCTTTAAGCTGGGCCTGTGGCTGCCCCTGAATATACTCAGAAGAGAGGGAGAGTGGGCGGTGGGTGGAAACTGATGTGTGCAGCCTGTGCTGCTGGGAGTCGGTCCAGTGGGACCGTCTGTGACGATGGAAATGTTCCGAGTGTTTGCCGTCCAGTATGGCAGCCATTAGCCACAGAGGGCTGTGGAGAACTTGATATATAGTCAGTCTGAGAAACTGAATTCCTCTAATAACAAGGATTCTTGTCCATGAATGAGATCTCTTGTCTACTGTTTGCAAGAATTTCTGCGTATTTTCTAAAAAGAAGTCCATTGCTTTAGTCCTATTCTGAAAGGCATATGGTGTTAAGACACAAGAGAACAGGTTCCCTGCTGACATTTTCAGAGGCCTGTGCCCTTCAGTCTTGAAGTAAGATTGAGCTTGAGGGAGGCTTTCTGGAACGGTGAGAAGAATAGCGTGATTAAGGCACAGAAGGCTGAGTGATGCCTTGCAGTACTTTTGTAGGGTTGGAGGCCAGCTGTGAGAGAAGGAACCATTGTATTAGAGAATGGGAACATGCCTTAGGATACAGAAATGGCAAATCCGTGAGACAGTTTGAAGTAAGAATACTAGAAACATTCTCACCAAACAAGGTGTGTCTTGGTGCCTGCTGTATCGCAGGCTCCGTGAGATGCTGGAGTCAGCACTGAACAAAGCTTCCTGTGCTTGTGGAAATGCGTTTTGTTGGGGGAAGGGATTTTTCTGCTGACTCTGGCTATTAATAGTAAGAATCAAAAAAAGAAATGAGGTAAATTGTTGGGAACAGGCCCCCAAACTGGCCATAAACAAAATCTCTGCAGCACCATGACATACTCATGATGGCCATGACGCCCACGCTGGAAGGTTGTGGGTTTTCCGGAATGAGGGCAAGGAACGCCTGGCCCACCCAGGGTGGAAAACCGCTTAAGTGTTTCTTAAACCACAAACAATAGCATGAGCAATGTGTGCCTTAAGGACGTGTGCCTGCTGCAGATAACTAGCCAGACCCATCCCTTTGTTTCCCGTAAGGAATACTTTTAGTAAATCTTATGACTGGCTTGCTGTCAGTAAATATGTGGGTAAATCTCTGTTCGAGGCTCTCAGCTCTGAAGGCTGTGAGACCCCTGATATCCCGCTCCACAAGCTATTTTCTGTGTGTGTCTTTAATTCCTCTAGTGCTGCTGGGTTAGGGTCTCCACGATCGAGTTGGTCTCGGCAGTAAATATTGAAAAGGAATCGATACAATTGCTATTATTTACAGACATAATTTCCAAAAAATTCCCAGAGAATAAACTGAAAAACTAACAGAAACAAAACAAGAATGCAGTAAGGTGTCTGGATAAGAGATTTGTATCTAAAAATTAGTAGCTTTGCGATGTGCCAGCAGTAATCTGCTTAGACATCAGTAGATATCTCATTCACATTTCAAACAAAAAATTAAAAATGCCTTGAAATAATGTAACCAGAAATACAAGAAAGGATATGAAAACGTGGCTGCTAAAGGACGTGAAAGAATGTAATACTAGATTCTGAGATGCAACTTTTTTCATTTGTTCTTCCTGAAAAACCATTAGGTTGATGTGCATTGCAGTGTCATGATTATGTATGAGTCCAAGGAAAATCAGATGAAATGTCCAAATTAAACCATGAAAGTGCATTGGTAGAGGAGGAAACAATTAGGGTCAGTGGAGCAAAGCAGAGTTAGAGGGAGAAGCAAGGAGGAGGAGGGATCATGGAGGTGGTATCTGTCTGCCCCACAGGAAGCAAAAGCTGACGCCCGGTTGCCAGCACACCTACAGTAAACTTCAGGTCCACTGCATGGCACGTTCCACTGCATGGCCACAGTAAAACTATGAAGGAAGTCAGTGTATAAGAAGCTTCTACAAAATAGGCAGAAGACAGTAGCCAGATGGGCCAAAGGCCCCAGCCACCCACGCCCCTCCCTCTCACTGAAGACCTTTGGCTCCAACCCCACCATCACCAGGGCTCTGCTCAGCTCCTCCTAGTGTGTGTCACCACAGGGCTGCTGGCTTGTGTCACGTTCACCACCAGACCCCACGTCAGGAGTCCCGCCAGGGGTGTGGGGAGGCAGCACTGCCTGGTTGGCCACGGAGCCATGTGGAACATGGTACCTCACAGGCAGTCTGCTTGGAGTCCTGGACCCTGGCTGTATCCCACTGGAAAGGATGTGTCTGGGTCTAAGATGTGTATGTAATAGAAACAGTATTCAGAAGCTTTAGTCAAAACTTCATTTTTAAGTTCAGAGTAATAAACTCATAGTCTGAATTTCCTAATTTTTCTGTTTAATTTACGTAACTTTTAAATGAAATGCAAAACAACAGGTCTAAAAGTTAAGCAGTTCTTGGTGTGGCTGCTTCTATGAATTAAAAGTTTACCAATAATATTTTGTGTCACAGTCAATGCAAAATCATGCTGCCGTGTTCCGTGTGGGAAGCGTGTTGCAAGAAGGTTGTGGGAAAATCAGCAAGCTCTACGGAGACCTGAAGCACCTGAAGACATTTGACCGGGGTGAGCAGACAGCACAGCGGGCTCTGTGCAGTGTTGGGCCCTGCCTTCTGTAGGGTGGGCTGGTGTCTGTGCCGTCAGTGCTGACTTAGTTCCATGCTTGCTGTCCGGATCCACAACCAGTGGCTCCACGGACTAGCAGGCCCAGGCTGACAGCTCAGAAGGCCCCTGTGACGGGTCCCGCCTGCCCCTGATGGAACTTTTTGTGTCCCCAGGAATGGTCTGGAACACGGACCTGGTGGAGACCCTGGAGCTGCAGAACCTGATGCTGTGTGCGCTGCAGACCATCTACGGAGCAGAGGCGCGGAAGGAGTCACGGGGCGCACACGCCAGGGAAGACTACAAGGTGCGCCTTCTCGCCACACCCACCTGCACCTGCCTTTTCCTCCCACCTGGTGGGACTCAGCCCCACCCCTGCATTTTCTCTGCATTTTATTTCATTTCCCCAAAAGTAAATCCAAAAAACGCCTTTTTCCCCCTGGTAACTTTGATCCCTGGGTTCCCGCCATCCTCTGGATCACTGTGACCTTTTCCTTGCTTTGGGTCAGCGTCCACTGATGGCAGCAGTGGCATCTCCAAGCCAATGTGCTTTGCTGTTAGAAGGCCAAGTTTAGAAGTGCAGCCAGAGTGGCATGACCAGGAAATAAATGCCAGTTTATTAAGTAACGAGTAAGCCACCGTTTCAAGCCTGCCCTAAGGAGGAAATGCCAGTTTATTAAATAACGAGTAAGCCACCGTTTCAGACCTGCCCTGTGGAGGAAATGCCAGTTTATTAAATAACGAGTAAGCCACCGTTTCAAACCTGCCCTGTGGAGGAAATGCCAGTTTTTTAAGTAACGAGTAAGCCACCGTTTCAGACCTGCCCTGTGGAAGAAATGCCAGTTTATTAAATAACGAGTAAGCCACCGTTTCAAACGTGCCCTGCGGAAGAAATGCCAGTTTATTAAATAACGAGTAAGCCACCGTTTCAGACCTGCCCTGCGGAGGAAATGCCAGTTTATTAAGTAACGAGTAAGCCACCGTTTCAGACCTGCCCTGTGGCTTGGAAAAGGTGTTATAGAGCCTGCCCTGTGGTCACTTGTTCTTCAGGTGAACTGATTTTTGTGCAGAGCACACGTGTTGGATTCTGCCTGGTAAGAGTTTCTCACATACGATAGCAGAAAAACACGGAAAGGGAAGCTCGGGGCACAAATGCAGGTTCAGGATAAAGCACATCCGCGAAAGGACAAAGGCTGCACGAGGCAGGCACGCAGGCTGGTTCAGGACCGTGTGTGGGCGGCGGCTGGTGACCTTTCCAGCCCGCCGAGCGCGGTGAGTGGGAGATCATTTTTATTCACCATGAAATTTCACCGATTTACCCTCCACTGGAATATGCTGATGGCTGTGATCACTGCTCGGAACTTGCTCTTGCCTCCTTGTACATATTAAGAGTCTTTCCTGCGAAGTATATGAATCCGTGTTTGCCAGAATACAGAATAATAATAAATTTATCACTTTTATTTTTATTTTTTTGAGATGGAGTCTCTGTCCCCCAGGCTGGAATGCAATGGCGCGATCTCAGCTCACTGCAAGCTCTGCCTCCAGGGTTCAAGTGATTCTCCTGCCTCAGCCTCCCAAGCAGCTGGGATTACAGACGCACGCCACCGTGCCTGGCTAATTTTGTATTTTCAGTAGAGTGGGTTTCGCCATGTTGGCCGGGCTGGTCTTGAACTCGTGACCTCAAGTGAACCACCTACCTCAACCTCCCAAAGTGCTAGGATTACAGGCATGAGCCACTGCGCCTGGCCAGTAGTATAAATTTAATTGGTCACAATGAGTTTTAATTAGAATAGAAGCCAGGTGCAGTGGCTCACGCCTGTAATCCCAGCATTTGGGAGGCTGAGGCAGGCAGATCACTTGAGCCTGGAGTTCTAGACCATCCTGGGCAACATGGCGAAACCTGTCTCTACACAAAAAATTAGCCAGGCGTGGTGGTATGTGCAGGAGGCTGAGGCAGGATGATTGAGCCTGGAAAGTCAAGGCTCCAGCAAGCTGTGATCACACCACTGCACTCCAGCCTGGGTGACATTGCGAGAGCCTGTCTCAAAAGAAAAAATGTTTTTAAATAAAAACAGGCTGAAAGAAAAGATTGAGGTAGTAGGTAGTCTCCCAGCGCATGCAGCAGAAAGACAAAGTATTTGGTAAACTCTTAGGTACATAAAGGGTGTCTAAGGGAACGTGCGGACACGGATTACTCTGGACTCACTGCTGGCTGCACACCCCCTGACCAGCCATGTGGCCTCCTTGGGTTCTGAACATGTTGATGGTGCCGGGGCTGAAGTGGAAATGGAATGAGTTCTAGGGCATCTGTCTCTTAGATCATTTTAATGTTTGCTGTGTTTTTTCTGTATTGCTCTGTTAGAGTAATAAGATATGTGATGGTGTTTCTGGCCTCAGGTGCGGATTGATGAGTACGATTACTCCAAGCCCATCCAGGGGCAACAGAAGAAGCCTTTTGAGGAGCACTGGAGGAAGCACACCCTGTCCTATGTGGACGTCAGCACTGGGAAGGTCAGTGTGGAGCTCGTTCTCACCACAACCCAAAATGCGCACGGCCCTGCCCAGGTTCACGGGCCGACCTTGCTGATGGTGAACGGGGAGGAGCAGGCCAGATTTAAATCAACTCCTGACAGATTTGAGGCACCACTGAAAAAGGCCTCTGACAGCAGTCAGGCTTCTGGCTGGAAACAGAATCCAGCGCCTGCAAGTGGTTCAGAGGAGCCTTAAGGGAAGGGCTGCTCCGTGGTGTGGGCCAGATGGAAGTCACTGGGCAGGAGCAAGTGTCCAAGGCCTGGTGAGCGGGGAGGAGATGAGGATTGTGGACTTAGGGAGAAAGTCAGCGTCTGTGGGGTGGGGACACAGCCACTACCAGAAACCAGTCCCAAGCCAAGGGAGCCCAGAAGAGACCCCTCCCCTCTCCTCCCTTGGGCTGGCCCAGCTGGAAGCATCTGCAGGGGAGCCGAGGGGATGTGGTGCAGCGCTTAGCATCCCCTGGGCACTGAGCAAGCAGAGAAGGGAAGGGCAGAAATTGAGGAGGGGTTGGGGTGAGCAGAGGGGTTGTGGTGAGCAGCGTCCTGGGAACAGCCAGCCAAGGGTGTGGTAGGGGGGTTGCAGCCTTGTTCCACACAAGCACAGTTCACCTGTGTGGCATTTCCGCTGGGCATTAAGATTCAGAAATAATGAAGATAGAAAGCTTTTACCCTTAAGCTTTTCGTAGCTTGTAAGAGATAGTCGTATAATCACTTATCTGTGTCTGTGGAAGTTACCTGTGGACTCTCACTATCATCTAGTGTGTCTGTAATTCAGGCAGTAGGTCATTTTCAGAATTTATCATGAAGGCCATTTCCTGATCGTATATAGAAATTACACCTCACTCGCTTAGCACAAGTCTATTTTTAATGTTTCCGGGTTCGGGTTTTTTGTTTTTCTGAGACAGAGTCTCATCTCTGTTGCCCAGGCTGAAATGTGGTGGCTCGATCTTGTCTCACTGTAGCCTCAACCTCCCCCTGGCTCAGGTGATCCTCCCACCTCAGCCTCCCAGGCACATGCCACCATGCCTGGCTAATTTTTGTATGTTTTGTAGAGATGGGGTTTCGCCACGTTGCCTAGGCTAGTCTTGAACTCTAGTGATCCACCTGTCTTGACCTCCCCAACAGGCATGAACCAACACGCTCAGCCAGTTTTAGTGATTTTTCAAGAAATACATACTCATTTCAGAAAGTACAAAGAGATTGAAATAAGAGCTCACAACCAGAGATGACCCATTATGGTTTAAATTTCTTTGTATATGTGCCTACCTTTTCCTGTGTGTGCATATTTAATATACAACTTGAGTATTCCTTCTCTGAAATCCTTGGGACCAGAAGTGTTTCGGATTTCAGGCTTGTTCAGACTTTGGAATATCTGCATGATACTTACTGTCTGAGCGTCCCCAGTCGGAAGATCTGACTCCATAGCACATTTCTTTTGAATGTCATGTTGGTGCTCAGAAAGCTTCAGATTTTGGAGAATTTCAGATTTTTGTATTAGGGATGTTCAACCTATGTAAATATTTACTTTGAACTGGAAGTAGATAGTTATAAAGTGTCTTGGTATAGACAAGGGTTCTCCCACTTTTCATGACGGGAGCATTTTTGTAAAGCACTGAGAATCTGGCACAGGGTCATTTCGTTGGCTCTGTTCCACTCTACGGATCTGCCGCCATTTACAGTCCCCTGTTGCGCATGTAGATCATTTTTGAATTTGTTATTGGAAAAGACTGCGGCAAATACTTTTAAGTTCCCATGCCATTAATCTACTTTTATAGTTTAAATTTTTCAAAAGGAATACATGAGATGGCTTTTTGTACATTTTTATGCTTACCACTGATTCTTCTTTTCAAGGTCACTCTGGAATATAGACCCGTAATCGACAAAACTTTGAACGAGGCTGACTGTGCCACCGTCCCCCCAGCCATTCGCTCCTACTGATGAGACAAGATGCAGTGATAACAGAATCAGCTTTTGTAATTATGTATAATAGCTCATGCATGTGTCCATGTCATAACTGCCTTTATACGCTTCTGCACTCCGGGGAAAAAGGAGTACATTGAAGGGAGATTGGCACCCAGTGGCTGGTAGCTTGCCAGGAACCCAGTGGCCAGGGAACGTGGCACTTACCTTTGTCCCTTGCTTCATTCTTGTGAGATGATAAAACTGGGCACAGCTCTTAAATAAAATACAAATGAACAAACTTTCTTTTATTTCCAAATCCATTTAAAATATTTTACTATTATGACTTTAGTCATATTTGTTGACCTAAAAATCAAATGTAATAATCTTTGTATTCTGTTACATCAAAATCCAGATATTTTGTTGTGGTTTCTTTTTTTTCTTCTTTCTTTTCTTTTTTTGAGACAGGATCAGTGCAGTGGTGCAGTCTCAGTTTACTGCAGCCTCAAACTCCTGGGCGGCTCAAGTGATCTTCCCAACCCAGCCTTCTGAGTAGTTGGGGCTACAGGTGTGCACCACCATGCCCAGCTAATTTATTTTTTAATTGTAGGGACAGGGTCTCACTATGTTGCCTAGGCTGGTCTCAAACTCCTGGGCTCAGGTGATCCTTCCTCCTTGGCCTCCCAAAGTGCTGGAATTATAGGTGTGAACCACCGTGCCTGGCCTTATTGTAGTTTATTTCTAAGTTCAAATTAATGTTGGTGCCTGAGAGCGAATGGAGAAAACTAGTATTTCCTCCCTTTTCTTGGCAGATGGTTTACTAGGTCAGTGTGTCCTCGATTATTTAAATCAGGGGTCCCCAATCCCCAGGCCACAAATTGGTACCACTCCATGGCCTGTTAGGAACCGGGCCGCACAGTAGGGGGTGGGCAGCTGGCCAGTGAACATTACTGTGTGAGCTCCGCCCCCTGCCAGAGCATTACTCTGTGAGCTCCACCTTCTGTCAGATCATTACTGTGTGAGCTCCGCCTCCTGTCAGATCATTACTGTGTGAGCTCCGCCCCCTGTCAGATCATTACTGTGAGCCCCGCCCCCGTCAGATCATTACTGTGTGAGCTCCGCCTCCTGTCAGATCATTACTGTGTGAGCTCCGCCTCCTGTCAGGTCATTACTGTGTGAGCCCCGCCCCCGTCAGATCATTACTGTGAGCCCCGCCCCCGTCAGATCATTACTGTGTGAGCTCCGCCTCCTGTCAGATCATTACTGTGTGAGCTCCGCCTCCTGTCAGATCATTACTGTGTGAGCCCCGCCCCCGTCAGATCATTACTGTGAGCCCCGTCCCCGTCAGTCATTACTGGTAGATCATTACTGTGTGAGCTCCGCCTCCTGTCAGATCATTACTGTGTGAGCCCCGCCCCGGTCAGATCATTACTGTGTGAGCTCCGCCTCCTGTCAGATCATTACTGTGTGAGCTCCGCCTCCTGTCAGATCATTACTGTGTGAGCCCCGCCCCCGTCAGATCGTTACTGTGTGAGCCCCGCCCCCTGTCAGATCGTTACTGTGTGAGCCCCGCCCCCGTCAGATCATTACTGTGTGAGCCCCGCCCCCGTCAGATCATTACTGTGTGAGCTCCGCCCCTGTCAGATCATTACTGGGTGCGCTCCGCCCTGTCAGTCATTACTGTGTGAGCCCCCCGTCAGATCATTACTGTGAGCCCCGGCCCCGTCAGATCATTACTGTGTGAGCTCCGCCTCCTGTCAGATCATTACTGTGTGAGCTCCGCCTCCTGTCAGATCATTACTTTACTGTGTGAGCTCCGCCTCCTGTCAGATCAGTGGTGGCATTAGATTCTCGTAGGAGTGGAACCCTGTTGTGAACTGCGCATGCGAAGGATCTAGGTTATGCGCCGCTTTTGAGAATTTAATGCTCATGATCTGAGGTGGAACCGTTTCATCTCCAGACCATCCCCACCATCCCCACACTTGTCCATGGAAAAAGTGTGTTCCGTGAAACCAGTCCCTGGTGCCAAAACGGTTAGGGACCGCCAGTTTAAATAGCCAAATACTAAAAGAACTGGCGTAGAAGTAAAATGGGCTGCTGCTTTATTTTTAGACTGTTCTTTTTAGAGAATAATGACAATTATTTCCAAGTTCGTCATTAGAAAATAATATTAGGTTGGTGCAAAAGTAATTGCAGTTTTTGCCATTACTTTCAATGGTAAAAGCCACATTACTTTTGCACCAACTTAATATGATAAATTTGTTCCTTAAAGTGTATTTTTGGTAAGAAAAACCTTTTGTTTTTCCTTCTATTAATTTTTTGGTTTTTTTCTTGGTAGAGACAGAGTCTTGCCATGCTGCCCAGGCTGGAGTGCAGTGGTGTGATCTCGGCTCACTGCAACCTCCACCGCCCGGGCTCCAGCAATCCTCCCACCTCAGCTTCTCAAGGAGCTGAGACTACAGGTGTGAGCCACTATGCCTGGCTAATTTTTATATTTTTTACAGAGACGGGGTTTCACCATCTCGCCCAGGACTGCTTGAGCTCAAACTCCTGGGCTCAAGCAGTCCTCCTGCCTCAGCCTCCCAGAGTATTGGGATTATAGGTGTGAGCCGCTGCCAGAAAAACTTTCCTAAGGCAAGGCAGGTTTTACATTATATTTAGATTTTTTTTTTTTTTAATGATGTCTTTTTTGGCAGTGTACAGCCAGAGAATAACACATCACACACAGGAAATAGTTGTGCTTATGTGATGGGGCCTCAGCACTAGGAAGGAGTGGACTGTTGGCACATGCAGCAGCTTGAATAAATCTGAAAGTCACTATGCTGCGTAAGAGAAGCCAAATAAAAAAGTGCATGCTGTGTACAGAGGGTGTCGAGAATGCCTCCTGTGTGACGGAAAGCAGATCCGTGGTTCCTGCAGACTGGCAGGAGCAGATTCCAAAGGCACAGGAAGAAGCTTGCAGGTAGAATGTGTTCATTACCTTCTGTGCATTACACCAAAAAAAAAAGCTGGTAATAAAAATGCTAACCAAAAAAAAAGGTGAAACTAGGATGAAATTTCTTACCTGTGTGATTAGTAAACGTGCAGGTTTGCCATCATGCTTTGTTTATGAAGCTGTGGGGTACAAGGACTCTCATACCTCACTGTGGAATGCAGAACGTTGCAGCCTCGTGGAAGAGGATTTGGCAGCGTCTAACGAAAGTATGTAGCATTTGCCCTTTGAGTCAGCAATTCTGGAATCTGCATCAAAAAAACTGGAAAAGAAATGAAAGGACTTTATGCACAGAGTTCTTTTGACAGCCTGAATGTGTTTGCAACCAAGTTCTTCACTGTGGCATTTGTAAAACCGGAAACAATCAAAATGTCCATCAGTAGGGGATTAGGAACATTAATTTGTACAGTGGGGAACTCAGTACCAGAAGGAGGTATGAGGAAGGCCTATTGATAAGGAGCAGAGTACATATAATATAATGCAGATATGTATTTGCTTTTTCTTAAAACAGTACAAAGATGGAAAACTAAAGTGGTTGCTGTGGAGGACAGGGGTCAGTGGTGGAAGTGAGACTGAAATAGACTCTGAAGTAATACCTGGACCTTGAAATTTTAAATGTTTTACATATTACCAAACTAAGTTTTTAAGATAGTCCCTAAAATTGAAAGAATAGTATCTGAAATGAATGAATCTAAATTCCTTGGATTGCATTCTACAGGCACCAACCCTGAGATCAAAATTTGGAAGGTGGCCCTGAGCACTAGCTGAAGGGAAGCAGGAGGTGGGACAGGAAAGAGGTGGTGTCGTGGGGCGTCCAGGAGCCAGGTCCCACAAGGGCAGCTGGGCCCGTGCTCACTGTGGGAGCTGGTGCGTTCCTTCACCAGCCAACGCTCCACAGGTTCAGGACGGTCAATTCCAGGCACCCCCAGCCTACTCCAGGATGTACTCCTGCCACCAGAGAAAGCTCCTAGGCAGCGTCCCGGGTGCTTGTGGTGTCAGAATCCAGTTGGAATCTGATGAGTGACCGGGGGCTGGCTGGGCTAGGCAGCATCATGGGTTTCCGCAGCCCAAGTGCACATCAGGCTGGTGACAGTCACACAGCCTATTCGTGTGTCGTCAGAACATCGCTAGAACACAGCACTTCAAGTGTGCAGATTTAGTGAGCCATAGTCTAAAGACAAATAGAGCCACTGAAATCCTAAATTTCAATCAATCATTGTTACTTGTCTTATTGGTATTAATCCTTTGAAATTATGTGGGGTGGGAGTTAAAGCTAATAACTAATTATGTTAATGCTAAAACAGATTTTTCTGGCCAGGTGCAGTGGCTCACGCCTGTAATCCCGGCACTTTGGGAGGCCGAGGCGGGCAGATCACCTGAGGCCAGGAGTTCAAGACCAGCGTAGCCAACATGGTGAAACCGCATCTCTACTAAAATTCAAAAATTAGCTGGGCATGGTGGCAGGTGCCTGTAGTAATCCCAGCTATTTGGGAGGTTGAGGCAGGAGAATCACTTGAACCCGGGAGGCGGAGGTTGCAGTGAGCCGAGAGTGAGCCATTGCACTCCAGTCTGGGCAACAAGAGCAAGACTCTGTCTCAAAAAAAAAAAAAAAAAAGAATTGTCAAATTACCACCCCTAATGCCCTGGTTCTCTAACCTGTGTAAGAGGATCACCTAGAGGGACCCCACCCCAGACCTTCCGATTCAGTCCTGGGGGGACCCCACCCCAGACCTTCCGATTCAGTCCTGGGGGGACCCCACCCCAGACCTTCCGATTCAGTCCTGGGGGGACCCCACCCCAGACCTTCCGATTCAGTCCTGGGGGGACCCCACCCCAGACCTTCCGATTCAGTCCTGGGGGGACCCCACCCCAGACCTTCCGATTCAGTCCTGGGGGGACCCCACCCCAGACCTTCCGATTCAGTCCTGGGGGACCCCACCCAGACCTTCCGATTCAGTCCTGGGGGGCCCCACCCCAGTCCTTCCGATTCAGCCCTGGGGGGACCCCACCCCAGACCTTCCGATTCAGTCCTGGGGGGACCCCACCCCAGACCTTCCGATTCAGTCCTGGGGGGACCCCACCCCAGACCTTCCGATCAGTCCTGGGGACCCCACCCCAGACCCGATTCAGTCCGGGGCCCCACCCGCCTTCCGATTCAGTCCTGGGGGGACCCCACCCCAGACCTTCCGATTCAGTCCTCGGGGGACCCCACCCCAGACCTTCCGATTCAGTCCTCGGGGGACCCCACCCCAGACCTTCCGATTCAGTCCTCGGGGGACCCCACCCCAGACCTTCCGATTCAGTCCTCGG